ACTGAAATCGTGGCCGTGCTATGGTTGTTTGTGTAAGCATTCAAGATGCTTATGCTAATAGTTGGAAGCCCGATAAACATCCAACATATGTAACATATATGCATTTTTCTAATACGAATGAAAACTCAAACAGACGGTTACAAAGGGAATTAGCTAAGTTCACCTTCTTTGGCAACATCGTCGTTGTTGTCGTTGTCGTGACCAGCATCAAAGGCTTAACTTGATAAAATAATATCATTTCTTTCATATTCTGTTTATTTTTTTTTATTTCATTTTGCATGACACGAAGGGACCCTTTGCATTGTGTGATAATCAAATTTCGGTAACACAATTGCCTTCTGCGTATTTTATATGGTTGCAAATGGGATACATAACTAAACCAAGGATCCAACAGAAATTGGACTGATGGGAAATGCTGGCGTGCAGATAAATGGCATTTCGTTAAGCGCATCCATTTATCAAACGAAATGACGTATCTTAATCCAGAACACACTTTTTCGGTCGATACCTGAACACACGATTTTCTTGGAATCATTTGGAATAATACGTATATTTTTTTTGGGGCGGATTTTGCAAGTAGTTCTCATCAAAATCATAGTTCAAATATGTATTGGTTAGAATTTGATTACATACACAGCGGTCAAGTGTGAACTTCAAAATGACCTGTGGCAAATCCCAAACTTTGTTCAAGTTAAAATTTTCTACGATATAATTCATCGTCTCGACTTACTTATATTGTGTGCTGAGTGAAGAGCAGAAGTGTTAGACCGTGGACTGATGATTCTCAAGTAGTGTATGAACGAACAAAAAAAAAAAACACTTGAGAAAAATTCATCTGTTTTATGTGAAATAATGTGAGTATTCGGTTTCTTGTACCGTAATGCGTGTCTGTAACATAGATTTATCGTGCATATTAAGTGCACAGCCTATCTTCAATGTATTGAATTACTTGAGGCATATCCCTTATGAAAATAGTCTAACTTTGTAATTTGGTAGTAGACAAAAATGAGGAGAAGTCTTTATTGACTGGTGATAACTAACTTTATGCTAGTATGCACCCCAAAATAATCGACTGCACGGAAAAGCTATTTTTTATACAAAAAATCTGACATCACTTCAATTATTATTATCAGCAGTTGAGCAAGTCATTTGTTTTGCACAAGGGTCCATCACTTCATATTCTGATTCGCATTGCATGTGTATCATTTGAAAACCAAAACATTAAACCACAGTTTTGTGGTTCTTCGAACCGAATACTAATATCGAAAACCAAAATCTGCGATACGGCATATACAATGTTCTCTTCAAAAGATTTATTTCGTCAATACCGTAATGCTGTGTGTTTGGTGTTTTTTCCCCATATTTCTCACAGTATCAAATCAATAGAATAAGTGACAATTAATAATTTATTACGTAAATTTCTTTTCTCATTCTCTCTTACGCATAAAAGGTTGAATTCTCTCGACTGATAGAGTTAATCCGAAATGTGACAAACACAGATTTCGATTGACATCAATAAACCGTAATACGAAAAATGTGCAAAAACAATAATTCGATTCTAAATAATTGACGTGACACTAGACAGGCATAAATAGTGTACGAAGCGTTTTTCTTGTTGAGTTCATTTCGTCAGTCTCAATTTGAAAGTACACAGTCAAGGTTTGGTCGTTTCAATCATCATTTCCATCTGTCTGCACGGAAGGAAGGAAGCAAATGTTAAAATATTCACATTTTTTCCCATTTCAAATGATTATTTCCACGAAATCCAATGCATTTTCTCCCTTCATCGTTCGATATGTTCTGTGATTTTTTTTCTCTTTCGCATTCGATTCATTAAACATCACATCGTTTCGACACATTCAACAAGAAGAAAAAAAAATTGGCAGAGGGCAAGATATAATATGCTAGACTTTATTTTCATGACGTTTATCGTTTTTCTCTCTCCTTTTTTTCCCATTTTATGTATTTTAATGAGCGTCTCCAGCGTCTCCTTTTTTGTGTGTGGTTTTAAGAAATATGTACGCCGTATGGTATGTCAATTGCCACGGATGAATTGGAAATAATGGAAAGTGAAAGCTCACGCGGTCGTGCAGTTGCTACATTCAACGTGATAACAATTCATAAACATTTGGCTCTTGTAATAAGATTAAATGAGAAAATGTCAGAAACGAATCGATTCGTGGCACTCCTTATTCTCTGCATCCATTTCCGTTTTTCTGCATAGAGTGCAGAGTGATGGTAAGAGAAAAAAATTGTTGCAAAAAACAGTACACCACATTGTGATTGTTTGTGTGACATCGGATTTGCCTATTGTTTAGTCATACAATGCAATGAATATCGATGACCTTCATCACATTTTCGTATCGAGTAGAAAACTCTGGATGACAGTATGTATAATAAACTCCAAATGCGTATTTTTTCATCTTCATCTTCTTTCTTTTGTCATTGATTTGAATGAAAGTCAAATTCAACAGTATAAATGATATTCTTTTTCTTGGCGTTCTTCGATGCCAGTCGACTGTAAAGTCATTCATCTGCGTTTTGCCTGCCGCACGACTACAAAAACATATAAATTATGTATGAGCGAATATGTATGATACACTAAAATGCATTTGTCGCATCACAATCACAAAACCAACTTTCATACACATATATGTGGTGTAGATAGGTATATTTTTTTTACAAAGCCAAACAATTTTATCTGTGTTTCGCTTAATTTTTTTTTCGCTTGCTATCTTCCTCTCTTTCTCTAAAAGTTTGGTTGATTATTTTTCTGTCTTCAGTACATTTGTTTCGGTTTTTTATTCGATGTGTTTTCTTTTGTTTGCATTTTGTATGCACACCAAAAACAATGACAAGAAATACACAGAGTAATTGAATTTAACAATGTAGATTATTTCACTCGATTTTTTTATCGTTATTATTTTCGTTCCTATTGGGTCTCTGGTGAATATCAAATTGGCTTTGCGATGTAAGTCAATCTCTAATGGGTTTTTCAGTGACTTCAGTGGAAAAATCAATGTAAAGTAATCATAATCAATTTTGAATTTACACCGAGCGAATTTCATTTAAATTTTCATAAACAAAATCCATGTGAAAATTTCGTTGTATACTATACTGTTTTGTGAATTATTTAATATACAAACGATTGATGTGCGACTTATCCTAATTCGATTGAAAACATGACATAAAATATTTTGAGGGCTGCTGCTCCTTTGTTGCAATATTTTGCTTCAAAAGGTCTACTAACCTTAGCGCTTTTGTTATTATGCGCATTTAAATGCATTTATTTCCATAATTTATGCTTGCACACAGATACACTAGCATTCACGTAAGCACACCGATACACACAATACATATGCATGTTGCACGGCATCATTTCTGTCCATTTCGATATGCTCGTGAGTAAACCAAAAAATTATTTTCGCTATGTAAAGTTTTTCATTGAATGCGATTACGGAATTAAAGTGAATGCAAGTGCATAAGTTGCTCGTTTAGCTTTGCATGTGCTTCGGTGTAATTTAAATTTAAATCGTTGTTTTGCATTCCGTTCTACCCTTCTCCATGCCCAAGCTCGCTCGCTTTCTCTCTCTCTCTTAACGGTTCCCAACTGAACTGGCAGAACTGGAACGCTATAATCTAGATTAGAATCGAAAGTGTCTATTACACATCCCATGCTGTATAACACACAAAATATAAGTTATGCTGTTGATGTTGTTATTATTTCTTTCTTTCGTTATTATTATTTTTTTTTGTTTGGTATGTGTTGCTTCCAGTCAATCAGGATGCTTTTTAATTTCAAAGCACAAGGTGAACTGAAAATGATGTGGCAATTAAATACTAAAAGCAACTATACGGAATATATAGGGTTGCTATTTCTGATCTGCTTAATGTTCGAAGTTTTATGATGAGTGAGTATCGTGTTTATAAATTATATATACAGCAATCGCATTTTGTGCATGCATATACGGTTTCCATTTAGAGCACAATGCACCTATGCATGTACTGCATATGCTGAACATAATTATACATAAAACACACACACACGAGGAGGGTTCAAAGAGGATAATTACAAATTTGGCAAAGGTGATATTTACAAAAATATACCACCTTTTCAAAAATGCTATTAGCAAATGAAATTGTCACTCTATTCCAATCATACCTAGTCTTTTTTTTTTTTTTTGCATTTAATACCTCTTTTTTATCCTCCACTTGACACATGCTAACAGGGTGTATGAATAATAGGGTACAAATCGATATAGTGCATTTGATTTGCTTCGATTCATATGCTAGTTTACATTTCGCCAAGGAAAGAACTGACAACAAAATGCGGCTTTCTAGTTGTTTCCATTTTAGAAAATACTACACCATACTATACGTTGAATGTATTTTTTATTACTCATATATAAGTTATTTTGCAGACCTATAATTAAATTCCAAAAAAAAATTGCCGTAAATGTAAGCATAATAATCAAGTTTTAGAGATAGATGAAAATTTGTAAACATGCAAAAGCAAAAATAAAAACACAGAAAAAGTACCGAAATACGAAAAAGTATGTGTGCCGACGGCAAAACGTTACGATGAACTGCTGCCGTAGCGTTATATGCGTACATTGATTGTGTACACATGCACCAGCTGATAAAATCCGTACGTATCTTTGTCGTTCCTTCTTTTTTTTTTTTTAACCATTGAAAAAGTATTTTGTTGTTTTTTTGTGAATCAATTTATATTTGGTTTTGTGTTTGGAAAAAAGGCTATCTCATGCCTGATGTTACAAAAAAATCAAAAGTAAATTGGAAAGTGCAAGAAGAAGATAAAAAAGGAATTCTCAAGAAAAATGGTTCAGCAAATAGCAGGAGATTTTCAACTGAAGAAAAATACATTAACAGCAAAGTACAATAACAATATAGTATACGTATAAACAATCTAACAAATTTTGCCGATTTCGCTTTATGTTTGGAAATATTCCAAATAATTTAGTTTGCACAAAAACACTTACTTGTCGAAACTTTTCAAATTGATTAAATCATCAGTTTCTGTTGAATAGTCTGCAATCGTTGAATTTCGATTAAATATTTAAAAATGCGTCTTGTTGTACCAAAGTAATCCACAAAATTGGGTGTAATTTTATTTCTTCATAAATGAATTATTCTGATGAATCTCTGCTTCTACCCCAATCACAAAAAGCAACTTACACAACACCACATACTTTCGAAATCTTTTTTTCACTTTACAAATCCTTCTTCTCACAAGTTAACCACCTCTTGAATTCTCTCACCAACTACCATAAAGCAACCAAATTCAAAATTCACTCAACATTTTTTTTGTCACTTGTTAAAATTTGTAATTTCGGTTTTTATTTTTGTTATAAAAATGATTTTTGTTGTTAGAATTATTTCATTCAACCGAAAAACTGGATGATTGATTGAGGAGATCAAATGTTATGTTGACCAATTGCGTCGTTTTTATTTGCACACCGAAAATTGTTCAAACAAGAAGTGCACATTCACTCTAATTCATTGTGCGTTATTAAATTGCTTCAGAAATTTATATCTTTTTTCTAAACAATCCACACATCTTTTTAAAACACAAGTTACACCAATCATTTGATATATGATTCGCAAATCTATCTAATATATCATTTTGGTTAAATCTTAAAAAAGAACTTTACGCAAACTAAACAAAAGTAGATAAAAAAAGTTCAAAAGTGTATTTTCCTTTTGGAAAAAAAAATTCTCTTACATCGCTAGTTTCATAGAAACACTTGCGTATCGGTTTAAGACTCGTTTTCAACTGAACATCATAAAATGACGTCGGAGCTATCGTACTACGACCAATGCGAAGCAAATCGCACGACGTTACGCGCCACACACTAAAAAAAAACGAGTTGTGCACGAAAACGCTTTGTGTCGCATATGTGAGCAAGCGAGAGAGGAAAGTGTGTGGTGTTCATAGGAACGAAGAATGAAAAAAAGAGTCATGGGCATCACGGATATATACGTTTTAGTGTTTCAGTTCCTCATATGAACATATACTTTCATATATATCTGCTGTTGACAAACATGCGCGCAGCGTTTCAGCGATGTTAATAAAGCCAAAAACACTGAGGCTATAAAGAGAACTAATAGTAACAATTCGTGCGCAGAATGGATTTGAATGCGAAAAATGAAGAAACAGCAAAGCGTACCACGCTAAAATAACAGCAACAGCATATATAATTTTCGAATACGAAATTTGTATAGTAATAGCGATACGCGTCTTTTGTACATGTTTTGTTTGGTGATTCTGAAATGAAATGCCGGCAGGGCAAATGAGACGGAGAAGAGTATTCTCCGTGTGAAAAACAATACGGAATAGCCAAAACGAAATTGGTTACGAATATGTGAACGGCATCACCCGTCAAAATATTCTTTGCATGCGGAAATTTCATATGAATTTAGTCATGTTAACGTAACCATACCATACTACTCTGAATAATGTGGGTCCGTACGTGGTGACGGTATGTGGTGCGGATTCCGCACCGACATTCGGTTTGGACAATGCGAGCATTGATGCCATTGCACAACATCAACACATTCACATTCGACTAGCAGGCGTCTTGGTGAGCAAACGAACGTTCTTTCTTCCTCTTTCTCTCTTCAATATCTTTCTTCTTTACAGCTGATTCCACTCTGTGTGTGCATAAATCATTTTCGTTTTTTTTTTGTTCTTGTTATTTTTTTTTACATACACATATATTCGTTTGAGAGTACTTAAAAACTTCACGACCACGTATATTCGCCAGCTTGTTTTGAATCTTTGTGCCTTTCTTTTGTATATTTTTTCCCTGACTGATTCTTGGGATTGATTCACATTGAAGAGAAGTACTGATTTGAAATGCAAAGTAATTCTTGGACTTATATGCGTTCTTTCTCTCTTCTCTCTGTAGATTTGTTGTTTTCGATCATTTGACCGTAAGTTCAAGATCTCAATAGTACCACAAATCAATACAGATCGCTGTGGTAAGTTTAAGTTCGTCTGACTTTCAAACTTTTTCGTAATTCTAGAAAGAGAAAAAAAAACGTTATGCATTACGATTCAATCATATATGAAAAAAAGTTGAATGAATCCATAGGGATTCATTTTTCATCGTGCTCTTCAGTTTTGACTCTTTGGATGTATTCCAAAACGACTAACTACTGCGAATTGAAAGCATAAAACAAGTTATTTTTATGGGCTTATCTCGTCAATTTAGTCGTACATATATCTATACAGTGGTTGTACGAAATGCAATCTATTCGAAATCAAACTAGCGAAGACGAAGCGCATTTCGTTCGCGTTTCGCAGCGTTCGCTACATGGTATGTTTCATTTCGTTCGATTTAGATTGTGTTTGGTATGCATTAACGTGCAATGGAATGGGTTGGTTCGGTTGGCTTGGGTTGGGTTGGGTGGTCGATGAGAGTTGCTTGCTACGTGCTCGTCTTTGCTTTATAGTTTACATATATTCACACAAATCCATGTGGATGTAAAGCGCGCGCGATTTGACGCTTTGCGCGAGGCGCACATGAAAGAGAAAGTGTTCAACTGCGTCGCGTGTGCACGCGGTCAAAAATAAATAATATTGAATCATAGCATCGAGCAAAGCGGGTGAGTGAGACAAAAATTATGAAGTGTGTGTATGTGGGCGTGGCTTATTGCTCCGAAAGTAAAGTAAAGCAACGCCTTAAATATTTCGCTCCAGAATTTCGACCATGCGAACAAAATGTTTACTCATAGTTTTAGTCACTTTGCTTCGTCTATAAGTATCGTCGCTTCGAAGTTCCCGGCCATCCAGAAATGATATTTACCGTACTTTGAATTATTCTCGAACTTCCATTTGGCTTTCTTAATGAAAATCTAAAAAATTCAAACACAATTTTACACTGGTTTTATGGTATATGATTTTTATGTATGTATATATGTATATTGAGTATTAGAAATTCTTTTTTTACATGAGTTGATTTGCAAATTTCTTTTATAACATCAAAGGCTCTTTCAAAACACTCCGAATACATTTATAAAAGAAGATAAGAGTTAAAAACTCGCCTAGAAAACGTGTCTCTTACAATTTGCATAAATATTATTTTTTGTTTCACATTTGGAATAACATGTGGGGGCTTAGTAGAATTTTTTTTTTCATTTGTTCTGAAGAAAGTTACTGAAAAGGAAGACTATAGTACGTATATTATATAAATATTGATTGTTGCATGTTTTGAACTTTTATCCATATCCTTTGAGAAAAAAAACAATTCAGGCGGTATAAAATTGAATGAAATGAAACAATGAACGTATCTTATAATTAGAGGGACAAAAAATGAATGCGTTTCGAGGAGATACTTTACAAAAAAATGTGTGACAATAAACATTTGAAATTCTTTCAAAGGCAAACTAAATAATAAAGTTTCTACCTAAACTTCTTCGACCTACAGCATTTGGTTAAAATTCAAGAAAATGCTTCTTGAAAATTAATGCTTCACATCATTCTTATAAAAAACGTTTTACTGGGAAAATATAAATATATGTGTGTGTGTGTGTGTGACGAGAGTAAGTCAGTTTTTGTCAAAAAGAGTATAATTATAAATTTACCTATGAATGGTGTAAAATGTATTGCTTTTCTGAGTCTCAGTATATAAATGTTTCAATATCAGAAAAAGAGAAACCGATCAATCGAAACGAAAGAAAAATAATAATTTATAAATATCTACGGATGACATCAAATGCCAATCAATTTTTCAAAAAAGCATCTATCCGATGTTTCTATTGTCGCATCACTTGTTTTATCATCATATTCCAAAATGTCTTTGGCATGTTCGAGAATTGCGGCTGCAAGTTCACCAACAGTTGTTTTGCGGTCTAGCAATACACGACACACGGTGTCCAACTAAATACGATCCAATAGAAAATGTATGTGATTCAATTTCATGTGAAAATTCGGTAAAACTCTATTGTGGCAGCTATGTATTTGTAATTACCTTTGCTAATTTTTTATGACCTGATGTATTGTAAATTAATAGCGGCAAACCGGCCAAACTGGCAGCCATCCATTGAATGGCCAGCTTCAGTTGTACATCACCATGTGACGTCTGACCACATCCCCAATTTCCAGTGCTGACCGGTGCAATGCCATCCTTCTTGGTGAGACGGTTTTTATTCATCTGTGCAATCTGAATTCGAAACAATGAATAATTTATTTAATTAACATGTTCTATTCACCATTCTAACTCATCAAGACAATATTATCAAAATTGTATTGATCAAAAATCAATTCAACGAAACACATCATTCACTTTCTATCGCATAAAGTTCGGTAAATTCAAAGCCAATATCAAAATGTATTCGATTTTCAATGGCAATGAATTTTGTCATTTAATCCCTTTCCACAATTCAATGCGTTTTACAAAAGCGTTTATATACAATGGGCAACATTTGGATAACAGAAATTTTATCCACCAAATGGTTTATGGGATGAGCGGCCGCGCGAAAGCAACAGTAGCAATTTATAATAGAACCAGCAATGCGAACACCATTCCGTATGCATCATACTTGAAATCACAAAGCATTGTCAATGAACTTAATTTTACGCTTTGATTTTTGTTTTTGAACGTGGTCGATTAGGAATGCAAAAGAAAAACCACAATTGACATTTTTTGTGTGTGCATTTATTTACCTTCACTGTGACTACATCACAGTTAACAATTTGTTGACTTTGATGTGATGTTATCGACCATTGCAATGGTCGTTTTTTTCTTGATCGCATTTCATTTTCACGACCAATGCTTGCAATGGATTTCGATGGAAACTCGTTATTCGGACAATCGTTACAATTGTTGGTGATCAGCATTGATTGCTTTGGTAACGTTGACAGTTTTGCTTTTGTTGTGATTAGATAGCGTTTTATAATTTTTGCCAAGATATCGACTAAATCGTTCTGCGTATAAATTGATTTTCAAAAAAAAAAGATGATGGCACATTGAGATTGATTGAATGATTTTTCATTGAATAAAAAGTAGTACGAAATTTGATACGTTTTTAAATACACCAATCTTTGCCTTTCTAAATTGATTTTATTTGTGCCATAAATTGAGTGTGTATTGTTGAAACGAAAAATTCGTTGAAAAGAGAATTGAATGCCTAGTTCAAACAAAAACGCAATCGAGAATTGTTTTTCCTTACCAGTTGCGCGGCTATTCGGTGTTTGTGCTTTGCTATTTCTAAGCTTAGCGACCGTGCGTTAATGATTTGTCGGTTTTTCTGCTTGTCTTGGTAATTTTGTAGTGAGTTCTCTTCGGCGGGGATACCTATGTGATACAATCAGATAATGTGAATTTTTTCTTTTTGATTTTTCTTGTCTAAAAAAAAAAACAAAACTCACATGCACTTGATATGCAACCTTCTGTCAGCGGTACTCCCACAAAACTTTCACTTAGTGTACGTTTGAGCAATGAATTCGCAAAGTTAAGAACAGCTTCATCACGCGGATCCAACTTATCCACGTTTTCTTCTATAATTGGATCCTCTATCCATTTGCTAAATTGCTCGTAAACTTCTTCCAATTCCGAACTGAACTCAGATGAATCATCTTCGTAATTATATTTTGTCTTTTGATCTGTTGTTAAATTCGCATTGTTATCAGTTTTAACGGTATTCACTGAAAATTTACAAAATAAAGTCATATAATCAATATTAGCGGTTGAATAATTAAAAAAATCGTGCCATGCTCACCATTTGAAAATTTATGTTCGTATTTTTCAAGCCAATTTTGGCTTTGATTTATAGATTCCATGTAAAAACCCTCATCTAATGAGTCATCGTTGAGAACAAAACCACGACTTCCACCACGTTTAATCCTGTTTGATAAAAACAACGTTTTTATACATTCAAGCCAAGGGTATGTGTAGTTAACAAACCTAATTCCCTCGTCTGCATCTGTTCTCGATCCTGATATGCTGATATCAACAGCGTAGCTGTCGTCGGTACTTTCTGTATAGTGTGTATCCGAATGTTGTAAAGCATCTCGCAATTTTTCGGCGAATGTATAGTGCTTATCGTTATTTGTTGTTTCGCCGTATTTTTCACAATCGGAATCATTCCAAACTGTAAGCAAGTTTGTTTAGTTTAAATCTTCAATTTCAATTACATAGCCATATGGCTTACAATATACCTTCTACAAAATCATCAAAACTGGTTTTCGCACTGTAATACATTTCTTCGCCAACATCCTCATTTCCTTCGCTAGAATTGCAGCTTGAATAAACGCTATTGCTGTCGGTTCGATTTGTAGACGATTTGGCAAATAATTGGCGTTTTGCTGTGATTCTATTCACCGGCAAACATTCACCTGAAGAACCTAATACTATAAAACGACCGCGTCTGCCCGAAGCAGTTGGACCTACATTTATATTTAAAAAAAATCCAATTTCAAATTTATCGCTTTGAATAGTTCGATCCACTAAATAATAATAACCTGTCACTACACTGCCTCCGTCTTTACTGCTACTGCCACCCATCGGACTAGCCACCAGCCACGATCGTCGTTTTTCAATGTTGTTTGCAATGAGATCGGAATCATAGCTGGATCGTTTTGTACTCGTTGATGGTTGTCTAATTATGATTTGGGTGATATCTTTTGGCGAATTTCGTCCGCTCTCTCCAATCGGTGAAAGTCTGAAGCACGACAACAATAAACTATTTTAAGAAATTTGCATATTTAATAAAAGTGAATAATTTATGTCTACCTTTTTTGCGCGTTATTTCGTTCTTTATCTATAACCGATTCAGACTCATGGCTACTCTCGATTGATGGCATTGAATTTAAACGACGATTGATACGTTGATTGGTTTTCGGAATTATTGGGCAGGTTGTGTTTTGACGGAAAGCAAGTAAGCATTTGTTCAGCTCACGTAAAACATTGTCCTCTTCAAATTGACTGTCAGGATAATCGCTATAATTTTCAGCGTCCATCAAACAAACCGAAACCTGATTGAAAAATTAAAAGTTTCGTTGAAAAATATCGTTGCGATTCCAAGAATTTCAATTTTTTTTTCATCAAACCTTTTTCGGTTCATCTAAACGTTCCAAAAACGGTTGCTTATTCGAATCGGTTAAAATACGATTAAATTGTCGGACATTTTCTACGAATACAACTTCATTATCTTCTAACGCTTCGACGTACAGTAAAATTGAGATTAGCTCCGGAAATAGTGAAAATTCTAAGCATTCCTTTGTGAATTGAAAACAAACAAACGAGAGAGAAAAAAAATATATGATTGTACAAAAAAACGTGCATTGTTTGTAATAGATTTGCATTTTATGACATACTTGAGACCAGCCATTTGATAAAAATTCACCACCTAAACGAGAAGTGGCAAAAACGGTTTGCACGACATTGTCATCGGATCGTTCAATGCGACCTTCGTGCTTTACTTCCAATGCACACAACGGCACGGAACATTCAAGCCAATCTTCTATTGTTAACCATTGTTTTCCGCTAAACACTTTTCTAGACACTCGCATGTAACTGTTTGTATCATCTCCACTTGCATCGTTACAATCCTTTGTTTTTTGACATTCAACATTTTTTGCTTCCGCTAAATTCGCTTGTGTTTCCAGCCAATCAAAATATTTTATAAAATTCAAAAATTTCACCTTTTGATGCGGTCTATGCGAACGAAAGGAAATGAAGTAAACAATGAATTTTACACTGTAATTGACCAAGCAGCAAAAGCAATCAATGGTACTCACTCATTTAAATTTCGAAAGAAGAACGAAAAATTAAAATCTTGCAATGTGGGATGTGTTTTTTCGGTTCTTTTTGGAAATGTAGAGAAAAACGCGTTGGCTAGAAGTGCAGCTACCAAATCATAACTTAATTTTACTTTGTCCGCTGTAAAAAAAAAATGTGCAAAAAATTAAAAAAACAAAACACATGCTAAAATGATGTCTAAATAAAAATTTGCGGGGAATGTTTTTTTTATCACACATACGTTGTTGCTGCAAACTGAAACTGAGTCCACGTGGCGGCCGAACTGATTTTAAACTTTGTGCTCGTTTTGCTAAATTGCACAATGTCACCGTTTTAAAGTATTGGCACTCTTCATCAGTCATTTCATTGAGCATAAAAAATTTTAAACCTTCAAATATGGTTGCATCGCGTTTATCTTCATCCGGATCAAGACTGACGCTATTTGATTTCAATGTAAAATTCACATTAAAAGAATGAAAGAAAATAAAAGTATTTTCACGAAATGAAAAGTGCACAAATTTACTATGAAAAATATCACACATCAGTTCTTACTTGCATAGATCATGAATTCGTAGCATAATTTCGAGAATCATGTACGTATCATCAGTTTGTTGAAGCAGCGTGAGTCGTTTACATATGCTCGACCACCAAGGAAGATCACACGGCAACATTACCAAAGCCATATTTTCAAAAGCCGTTTAACTGTCTCCAGTTCTACTTACAGTCAATTTACTTTACATGAAATTGGAGTGTGTGGTTTGTTGTTTTCAGGTTTTCTGTGTGTTTTTTTTTCCACTTTCAGTATTTCGTTTTCAGTCTTCTTATTTTGTTTTCGTTCTCTGTAACTAATTCAGACTTCTAGAATCGATATAAATATTCAGACGCTCGATTTTTACTATGAATTCATTCTGTTGTTTTGGTATATTTTTTACGTCTTCTTTGTTGCATTTACATTGTAACTAATTTTATATTTTCCTGCAGAGAGATAGGCAGAAATGTAGAATTATTATTACCATTTGAATGAAAATTCTAATTGTTATACATTTTGTTAAGTTTTTTTTATTATATTTGAAAAGAGATTATTGTCCAGACTAGAAGTCCGGACGAGAAAAAATTCGAATTAGACTCATTTGAGTGCCCCTCTAAACAGAAATCTTTAGTAAAAGGCGAAAGATTTATTTGATGTTGAAGAGAGGCCAGAGTGATTAAACCAACGTTTCATTTGACAGTTATCAATATTGCGAATACGTTGCATCAGCGAATTATAGCAATGTTCAAAGTGCAAAACACGCACTTTTGGCGTTGTGTACAGAGATGTGTTATTTCTCTTGTTTATTGTGCTCAAGCTACTGCGTATAAACGTAATGTGTTGAATGTGGATAAAATGTATACCATAGAAATGGTCTGTTGAATGTCGTACGTTGAATCGTTGTGTCGAAAGGTTTTTGTTCGTGAGTACGGATTTTTTTGGCTTGGCATTTGTTTTTTTATTTATTTCATTAGAATTGTGTATATTTAAAGCGAAAAAAATGAAGCAATCGAATGATTTTGGAAAGATATATTTTTCGTCGAAACAATAATTGCAATTTATCAAGAAAAATCTCATTAAATGAATGAGTTGTGAAAAGATTCGATGAAAATTGAAATTTCATTGGAATTTTGTTTATACATTTAAATTGGGTGTAAAATGGTCCATGTAGCCGAAATCAATAATCGCTTCGTAAATTGTTATGGAATAGAGTGCGTATTAATTTTGAATTGCACGGAGAAAATTGACGGTACACACAGGCCTGTACAATAGCATAAATGGGTCGCGCAATAGAGAGAATGTCGTAGGTCATGTTCACCGTAAATCTCATTTATCGATTTTATTTTTGAACTACTCACAAAAGCCGAATTAATAAATATACGCCTGTGCGTTCCCGTTGCGGTGTGCGTATTTTCCGAAGTGCGTACGGGTTACCTATATCCACATGACGTATTGAATGCATTTCCATTGAAGTTTTCTTTTTAAATATTTCATACGGCTTCGGACAAATGGTTGTGCGCCGATATACTGAAAAGTATGATTGAGACTTAAACATAAAACTGATGAATGTGATGATGTTTCAATTTATTAGTGACTTTATCATGATAAGATTGAGACTACGAAAAGCAAACATAAATTTCACATATATTTTGTTCTATTCGTGTTGTTATTATTTTTGCAGTCCAATGCTACGCTGAAGTGTCTGCACGAATTCTAATTGTACTAATGTTTATTACAAATGTACGTAATATTGAGATATCTGGTAACATTTGAGTGCAATAGAGCAAATTGAGAGGAAAAATAGTATCACACAGGCGAAAAGACGAAGAGCGCGTATAACTGAAATAACAGCAAATGAACATAAATAAAAACAACGAAACAAGACAAAAAAAAAACCGAAGAAAAAAGGCATAAAATTGTGAAAATCGTATAAATACACTTCTGGCTGCCGCTTTATAGATATTGTATGTTTAAAAATCTTCTCATGTGCACGGTATTGCTATTTTTAAACATTTCACTGAATAAAGGAACACACTTTTTTCGACTGGCTTTCTTTCCTCCTTCTCTATATGTATAGTACTCTATCTATCGCAGCACATAGATTTATCTTTTGTTTTTTTTTTTTTGCAGAATTTCATATGGGTTTCAAACGATTTGAAAAAAAAAATCTGATTTTATCTAATCACATGTAACACCAAGTTTCAACTTATTTTTACATTTCCTTCGACACAGCACTTGCTTTACAATGCATAAATCACCTTTTGTTCATTCGAATTGTAAAATTTTACTAACTTAAGTGATGATTAAATGACAATTATTGTAGTTTCGATTAAATTATTTAGAAGGGCTCTTTGTCACTATTTATTTAGTGAGATGCAAGCAGAAAATATAATAATTGAGCGATACTTTCTTCGATGGGTCGAACCGTTGATTCGGTAACACTGTGCTCGCTCTAGTGCAAACATTAAACTAGTAGCGAATATAAATAAAGACTGAACACGACTGATGAGAAAATCATACGGGAAATTTTCTTGTCTTGTTTTCTTGACGCTCTGTATGTCATTCACTTTTTTTTTCTTCAACTGTAAATATATATACATACACATTTGCAGTTCTGTATATGACGGCTTCTATTAGCCGTCCTGTCACACAAGGATTTCAGATTGAAATCAACCGGTTCATTTGAGTTGGCGATAGTACATGTTATCACGAACAATTCGTTTGATCGTTTAATGACATTCGAAAATTGGCAATTATCATTTTCTTGCCCCGTATTTCACTATTTAGAACAAAAGGCACATTCATTTTAAACGTGTTATTATAATTAGTCGATCAAAATTAAATTGAAGTGTAAATTAACGTTTCATGATCAATTGTGTGTGGCTTTTGGATTGAAGCAAGGCAAAAAAAGGTACATTTCCTCTGTTTCTGAAACACTCGTGTGAAATTCGAATTGGATTTTGGTTTTTTGATTAATGCATATATTTGTGGTTGACGATTTTTGAGACAAGCATTTCACGCAAAATTGACACAGAACACAATCTTTCACTTAAATTGCAAAACTAGGTTTTGGTGTGTGATGTCTTACTATGAGATTCCAATAACATTAGAAAAGTGGTTAAATTAAGCGACAATGTGCACACCAAAATAAATATAGTTAGAGCGCGTACACGAATTACATTGCTTAAAATTTGTAATTTCTCGGTGTGTAAAATTAAAAACACGAAAAACTAAAAACGAATCCTTTGCGACGGCAATAAATTCATATGTGCTATTGCTGTTGCTCTGTACAAATGTAGATTCTGTGATATTTTATTAGCCGCGCTCACAAATTAATACTTCTTTGTGTTTGCTCCATTTTTTTTCACGATATATTACACGCTTATGTTTCACATTTATTAGTAACAACGAAGCCAGAGAGTGAAAAATAAGTCGACGATGTCGAAATGAAGAGCATTAAAAACGTTGAAATAGCATCATGTGCCAGTTAGAGAGAGAAATGTTTGTTCGATTTTATGTTTATAAATATACACTTGTATTCGTAGCATCAATTGACGTCATAGATGCGCAGTAAACTCGAGCGCTGATTCTTAAGCGAAGGGTTTTTCCTATGTGTATGTGTGTTTATGAAAGAAAGAGTCTGTGATTTCCGTTTTTTTTACTGTTATCGGTCGATTTTGCTCGGTTTTCTTTTTCAGTCATATGCATTATATCCTATTGTTTTAGTTTGTCGCACACATTGCACAATGTGTGCTTACACAATCGCTACAATATAATCGGCGGGGTGTCGATGACGTGAGCAATGGGGAAAATGTTACGTCACACACATTCCAACAACGATCTCGCTAAGATGCTTTCGGCACAAGCAAAACAGAGGAAAAAAAACACAAACATATACACACACACAAGTAGGAGACGAGGGACTTTTTTTGGTGTACAAAAAAATCGAATTTGCCCATCAGAATCATTAAACTTGAATTAATGCAATAAAAATATCTTCTTTGATTAAAATTTCAAGATTTCACGCTGTTCTGTTTGCATTGGTTGTCACTTTTTTTTTTCAACGAGTTTCTTTTACGACTTTTTGCATTTTCATTGAACGTGCATGATTGCAAAGTACAAAAAAAAACGATTTTTTTTCTCATCTTAATTTACCATTTAACGTTGATATGATATTACACATTTAGATCCAGTAGATTCTTGTAATTATAAATCATAATTTATCGGTCGCACGCACTAAATTCAAACTAGTTTCTATGATCTCAAATGATTATTGGTTCACTTAACGATGGCACATAAAAAAATGATTTTTTTTTAGAAAAAGAAAAATGTATGTATAAAAAAGAAGCATTTGAATAGAAAAAAGAATCGCCGCCAATACTGGATTTTCATTTGAAATACGTTCGCGCTGATGGCGTTGGGAAAACTGACTGAATGCGAATGAAAAACTTTATTGAAAACCTGTGGCCGTATCGGATCAATTCCGTTCGGTACGTACTCACGCAAAAATGATGACGTTCTGTTGGCAATGATGATGATGATGATTATGACTTTTACGCTGTTGTGCATAGCAATGTATGTATTGTGTGCACGGCGTGTGTGTTTGTATGAGAAAAACCCGGCAACCGAAATATTGAAAAGAATGACGACACAGTCGGCAATACGGCAATGATAAGCTTGGTCGTCGAAAAGCTTGCGCATTTGCCGCGTGCAAAATAAAACATATCTTCAACTATAATGAGCGAGGAAAAGTGACTATTCTATTGTGCAACGTCGTTTTCGGTGCAATTTTTTTGTTATACATACACAGCAATTTCCATGCCGTTTGTGACTCAAGAGCTTTCTATACTAAAGAAAGCATTACAAGATGAGCGTGCGAAAGAATTCGAATCCAAGCAACTGAAATGGAACATATTTTGAAAAATCCGGAAAAATCTGAAACCAATGCATATTCCACAGCCGAAAGATAATCGAACCAATGAACTGGAAACGGATGTAATTGTGATGACATACGAGCATAAATTATCAGACCAGTGTGAGCCAATCAATTTCTATGGTGATTGTATGAGTTCATTGTTTTGAAAAAAAAAGAAACATAGACTTCAAGTACACTTTAAATTATTATTTTATTTCAAATTAGTTAAAAATATTGTGCATATAAAAGAATTTGTATTAAAAACTGGTGAGAGATCCGAACACAATAAAATTTTAACTGGCATAGCCCGACAGTTGAGTAATTGTCAAAATAATCATAAATAAAGGAAGAGTGATTCTCAAAATCAAAATAAATGTACTTTTTTGTTTTCATGTTCTCAAATTCACTCTTTTCAATAAAGAACAACAACATAAATAAATCTTTTTGTCTCTGTTTTGCTTTGTTTGCAATTTTTAAGACAAATATTATGCTTTTATTTGAATCTCTATCCTGTGTGACTATTACCGGCTGACTTTAATCACAGTTGGCTATTGTCATCTAACGTTCCAAAATAACCGTCTGTTTGAAATCGAATAAATAGACGACTTTAGTCAATTTATAGAATGGCTACAGTTAACAAAATGCATTCTCAACCAGTCAGTCAGTTGTTCACTTTTTTTGCACACGGTATAATCGGACGATTATTAATTTTCTAAAGAAGACCATAAATTTCATATTTTCGCCGAGTACTCTTTAAAAATATGAAAAAAATCATCAATAAATTCATGAAGTATTAAATAATTGGGCGAATATTTTGGCATATCAAATAACTCTATCAATTTCCCTATAGCGTAAGTAGTTCAACATACTTTATACATTTCATTGTGTCGACCATGTCAATCTATCTTTCGTGCATTTACCTCTATCTCATTTATTAGAATCTAAACCTGATTTATCTGGTTCGTTTTTCATGACTTGACAAATGTTCTTACTTTCTAATTGCGGAAATAATCATCGAAAATAGTTTGAATTATATGAATATAATACATTTTATGATTACACGCAACAACAAAATAAACAAAACAACCAAATGCTAACCAAGCAAATCGCTCCCAATCGTTGCTCATGTGTGCATGTGTATACATTACTGGACTTTTGTTCCTCTATTCGTTCGCAGAACAAACGTGTGTATCTCATTATTGGTTTACTTACATATACACAGATATACTTTCAAGCGATACGTAGTCTTATTGAGTGTGAGGTTGGCAACACTTCATTGCTTAGTAGCACAATGGTGAATATTTAAATAAATTTTACTCAAATTCTGCATTTCAATGAGATTTTTGATCAAAGAGATACAATGCTAAATAGCACAACGATTACAATTGAAATGGATTTTTGTCATTTTTTCTACGGTTTACCGTGTATTTTCACAGTGGTGAATTATATGTAGTTGCTATCCAAATGTTATGGTTCGTTTAGATGCGCAAATAGGTGAGTTAATGTGAGAGCAGTTTTGCTTGGTTAGCATTTGGTTGTACATTGATATGGGTGACTGAGAACTGTGCGAATAGGCATTATTTTGTTGGTATTAGTACGCGTGCAACTCTTCATAGCCATTTTCATGTGAAATTAGTGGCAGCATTGCAAAAGCTGAAAAGATTTTTTTTCGTTCATAAGACGTGAACAGCGAGTGTGACAGTGGTACTGGATGGAATGAAATAATTTCCGTGTGACCAAAAAAAATTATTATATTCATATAATTCAAACTATTTTCGACGAATATTTTTTCCGCAATTAAAAAGTAACAGGAAAAGAAACTGTGTTCAAAATCTACGTTTGTGATATACATAGATTGAAAATATCCAACCATTTTTTTTTCATTTGTTGAACACAAAGAGACATTGTGTAAATTACTTTCATACAAACTGTGTACATATATCTGATATATTCGTGAAATCAATTTTCATACGAAATAAGATAAAAAAAGATATTAATTGTATCAAAAAAAAAAAAAAAAAACTGAGTGACTTCAACGATATCAAAAACGGTGAAGTGCTACTATTGAAAAAATAGAGAAACGAACACTTTTAAGAGAACATTTTTTTGTGTGAAAGCAAATCTATAGTACGCCGTGTGGTGAATTTCCATAAGAGGAACGGAACAAAAGAACATTTGACGAATTGAATACAGCAACCTATTAATCAAGTCCACGAAAAGCAAAAAAAAATTAACATCCGATTGGATTAATATGAGTAATGGAAGAATTGAAAATGATGCAGGTCTAGAGCAGCAGGTATATAGAAAAAAATACATTTTAAAAAGATAAAGAGTGGTTTTGAGTATTTTTAGTGATTTTTGAGTCATTAACCAAATTTTTGGGAAAAAAGCATGCGGTTTTAGAGTGACTAATATTGCATAATTTTGTGAAAATTCTTTTTAAAAAACTCAAATGAATTTTAAATTTTATCGATATTTTATTTTTTCGCGTGATAGGAATTTATTTAAGTGAAGTAAAATAGATTTGAAATTATTATAGTACGCGTGTATTTTATACAAATGGCGGCCATTTGTATTACATCTATTGTTGTACGGCATTCCCCAGCTCTATGAGCTATTCGCTTATTTGAACTCTTCTACATCGGTGTATGTGTATGTGCATTTGGGTACGTTTGTGTATGCGTGTGCATGTGTGTTCATGACCGAATAATATATTGGACTAAGCAGTAAATTAATCGGCAAAGCAAGTCTTGTTCCTTTTTTGTTAGGCCTTCGTAGTTTTTTTTATGGAGCATTTGAATGTGACTCCTTCTTTTTCACTTATTGAACAAACCGAACATACAAAAAATGCACTGACTTTAAAATAATTTCAATGTTAAATGCTGTGCAAATTCGTCACTCTAAAATGCAACCGTTTCGAGGTCAATACTTATGTAGCGCAAAAATGTGAAAGATTTTTTGTCACGATAGGATTTTTTTAAAGAAATAAACTGCAAGCGAAAAAAATATTAGAGAAGAAAACTAGATGCGACTCGCTTTGTAAATGCATGCAAATTTTGTTTCATCATTTTTTTTATTTGTTGTAAATAAATTTAAACGAAATGTTAACCAATTTGTTTAGGTTGCTGGTCTGGACTTGAATGACTGCAAAGACTCGGACGATCTTTGTGGTTCAATCTCCGGTGATCAAAAACGTTATATACCGCCCCATTTGAGAGCAGCAGGTGGCGGTGGTGGTGGTAATAATAATTCGTTCGAAGGCGAAGGAAATAGCGGTGGAAATCGTAATCAACGCGATAATTATCGCGAAGGGGGTTATAATCGTGACTATAGGAACGATAATCGGAATAACCGAAGATACGGTGGACGTAATAGTGATCGCCAAGAGCGTGGTGATTACAACAACTATTCGCGTAACAATCGCCGTGAGGAATCTTATCAGAACGGTGAAAATTTCAATAGCTATGATCGTCGAGGCGGTGATGAAGGGTATCGCGGATACCGTAATCAACAATACCGTAATGACCGTAATGATCCCCCCATTCGCACAAATGATCGGTGGCAAGAGCCAGACAAGCATGATAATCCGAATCACGGAAACAATCAACGAACCATACCAAAAGGCGACAACATTGACTACACGGTCTTGCTACCGCGCAATGAAAGATTGGAAACAGAATTATTCGGAACGGGTAATACCGGTATCAACTTTAACAAGTACGAAGACATACCCGTGGAAGCGACTGGCAACCAAGTGCCACCAAATATTAATTCGTTCGATGACATTCAGCTGACACCGATTATTCAGGCCAACGTTCAGAATGCCCGCTATGATAAACCAACACCAGTACAAAAATATGCAATCCCAATTATTTGCGCCGGACGAGATTTAATGGCTTGTGCTCAGACTGGTGAGTGAATATTTTCAATTTTTATTCCCATTGCTTCAATTGTTTAGTATTGGCATTTTACTAATGGCATGTGTTGTTTGTTTGACTAGGATCTGGAAAAACGGCCGCATTTTTGGTGCCCATCATGAATCAAATGTTTGTGCGCGGTGTTGGCCAACCGCCACACACAAATCGTCCAGGTTTGCGTCGCAAACAGTTTCCATTGGGATTGGTACTTGCACCGACTCGTGAATTGGCCACACAAATCTACGAAGAAGCGAAGAAATTTGCATATCGATCACGAATGCGTCCGGCTGTTTTGTACGGTGGTAATAATACCGGCGAACAAATGCGTGACTTGGACCATGGATGTCATTTGATTGTTGCAACTCCTGGCCGTTTAGAGGATATGATCACCCGTGGCAAAGTTGGTTTGGACAATATTCGTTTCTTGGTATTGGATGAAGGTAAATTTTGTTTTATTTATCTTTTTGCGCAACACTTTTTTCTTCCACATAATTTACTAATAAAAAAAAACCTTTTCGAATTTTTATTGTTACTAATGAACAGCTGACAGAATGCTTGATATGGGCTTCGAGCCACAGATTCGTCGTATTGTTGAAAAGAGTTCCATGCCACCGACTGGTGAGCGTCAAACGCTCATGTTTTCGGCTACTTTCCCGAAAGCTATTCAAGAGTTGGCCAGTGTGTTCTTGAACAATTACATTTTCTTGGCCGTTGGACGCGTTGGTTCAACTTCGGAAAATATTACACAAACAATTCTATGGGTGAATGAGCATGACAAACGTTCATACCTGCTTGATTTATTGACATCGATCAAAGAGGGTAACAGTGAACTGGAAGGAGATCATTTGACATTGATTTTCGTTGAGACTAAGAAGGGTGCCGATGAACTTGAAGATTTCTTGTATCGTTACGATCATCCAGTGACAAGCATTCACGGTGATCGTACGCAAAAAGAACGTGAAGAAGCTTTACGCTGTTTCCGTTCGGGAATGTGTCCAATTTTAGTTGCAACTGCAGTTGCTGCTCGTGGTTTAGATATTCCAAATGTCAAGCATGTCATCAATTTCGATTTACCATCCGATGTTGAAGAATATGTACATCGTATTGGTCGTACCGGTCGTATGGGTAACTTGGGTGTTGCAACCAGTTTCTTTAACGATAAAAATCGCTCAATTTGCGCCGATTTGGTTGAATTGCTGATCGAAACAAAACAAGAATTGCCTGCTTTCTTGGAAGACATAATGCTTAGCGAACGTTCACACAGTGGAAGACGTGGTAATCGCGCAGGTGGCCGATACAATGCCGTTTCACGCGATTATCGTACATCGACCAATCGAAATCAAAATCAAAATCGTAACGGAAATAGTGGAAGAGGCAATTCAGGCGGATATAGCGGCAACCGAGGTAAATTCCATAAAATAAAATGCCATTTTTGAATGCATTTCATGGCACACATTTAATCTCAACGATTCTTTCATTTTTACAGGCAACTACTACGGTGGTGGTAGCGGCGGCGGCGGAGGCGGTGGCGGCGGTGGAAGCTACGGTGGATCTTATGGAGGTGGACAAAATCATTCCAGCGGACCAGACTGGTGGGCTGATAACTAAAGAGCACTTTGCAAACACAATTCGTTTGAACATCTCTATATGAAGAAATTCAAAAGAAAAAACAATCTTCTAAACACAAAACCGAACCCAAGCTGTCAAAATAATTTACTAAACAAAACAAAAATCCATAAATTCAATGCAATCGAAACTATAAAATTAGTTTCACTAAATCAACATTGCTTCAAAATACAAAATTTATTTTCATTTTACTATCGAGAAGAAAAACAAAACAAAAGTACCGATTTTGTATGACATTTTTAAAAAGAAAAATCTTCATATAAATGAAAGCAAAAAAAAAATATCAAATTTGTTTTTCCGTAAAAAAAACTTTTCAACTAGTTTGGATTATGTTTGACTAACAAACTTACCAGAAATATTTAATGAAAAAAAAACACACACACCCACATCAAAAACAGAATTTCTTGATAAATCAGCACGGATTGCTGCAACATCCACACTCTCTCATACATCAATAATTACAAATCCAGTTGTTGAATTTGATTTGCTCACCATTGAATACGATTTTTTCATTTCATAGTGGCAAAAAATACGATCAAGATTTTTCTTTCATAGAAAAGTACTCTTAAATATATTAATTTGATAAGAATCAAAAGTCATGCAAAGTGACATCCATATTACATCTCCATTCAATCAACAAATTTCAAATTCGAATCGAAGATTCATGCCAATTGGCTTAAAACTTAGAATTGTGGATAATTTACTGTATGTGTTCTCACTCACTTGACTTTTGATAATAATTATTAGTAACAATAAAAAATAGCCTAATTTAATGAAGAAATTATCGCAAACTGAATGAGAGTGAAAAAAATGAATAAACAAAAAACAGAAAATAAATTGAATTTAATGAAAATTTAATGCAAACACAAATAGAAATGTTAAAACAGCGAATCGTACGCGTAAAAACTCAATTTCTGACCGTCAACATCAAAACAAAACACATACAAGTGGGAAACAGTTTTCGGTTTTAATTGGTTGCAGTTACAGCCTGGATTCTATTCACAGCCAAAATGTCTAATGAATGAAAAAAAAAAATGAAAGGGAAACGCTAACGAGGCATGATCTTAAACAAACTGTGTTTAATATACAGTGTTTATAAGTGTGGATCATGTAAAATGGAATAAACACCGCAGTGTTATTCTTCAACTTGTACGTTTCACATTGTTTTTCTCTGCAATTCTCATAAAATGCAAATGGCATTACGCCGATTTGCCGTGAAGGCTGTCACATTTTGAATAAAATTCTATTTAAAGCTAAACAATTCAAAACAGATCATGCCATGATCATCTCTCATTAGATAGACGAAAAATAACATAGATGAAGAAAAAAATTATATTGATGAGATAATTGTTTTGCATAATTGTTTTATTGCGATAAAATTAAAATAATTACGAATAGATGCAACAAGTGACAGAGTAAAAAAGAAATGAGAAATGAAAAAGAAACAAAAGCATTCAAAACATAAATGATTTAAACTGTGATAAAGGGCGATTGTGCTTTTGCGTTGGATACAGCATGAAACACAAATACAGACACACTCATACACATGAACATAAACCAATTAAACACACACCAACACAAAATATCAACTTATTTATGAAAAAAAAAGTGAAATCTTCATTTAATAGGTATCGTTATTAAATGAAAATTAAAATTGATTTAAATGAGATAGGTAAACTAGTAAATGAGCAACGGAACGAAAATTATACGAAGAAAAGAGAACAACAATAATTTAAAAAAAAACACGCAATTCATAGTAAATTCTACCTTTATTACGGATTTTAGCAATTATGCAAGTTCTTAAGTCGCGATTGAATCCATCGCATTCACATACACACACACTCAACAATACTAATTTGCGTATGACAAACGCGCTTGTCAAACACTTCAATGTGTCTTAAATTGGAAAATTTAAATTCCCGAATTGGAAACACTTAGCTCGGTGTATCAATAGAACGATGTTTTGAAAACACAAAATATCTGGTATTTGAAAAAGAGAACAAATCAAATCTACTTACACCAGATGTATGCATGTACTGCATAATTTTAGGAAATTTTTCTATTTGAAAATAATATATATTTCTTTTTTAATTTTGTGGAAAAAAAATTCAAGAGTTATTCATTAGTTTTATTAATTCATAAATGGCTGTTTGCTATTTACGAATGAATGTAAACTATACGAAAGGAATATCCTTTCACACGAAACAAGAAATGGACAGTGTATCAATGTTACGTAGTCCTTTTGCTGCTTGCAATCGAAAATATTGCGAATTTTTCTCCTAATTTCAAATTCATTTTTGATCTCGACAAGAAAATTACTGTATGCGAACAAATGAAGAAACGATCGAAAAATCGTCAACATTTGACAAAATACTCTCCATATAATTTTTTTTCTATTCCAAACTTCATGAACAGTTTAATTAGTTGAGGTAACTAAATCTGGATTCCAATATATACTCATCAAGCATTAGTATATTAAGTGAATCATTCAAATTAGCCCGGGGCTCAATCACCGACACGATATTTTGATGAAGAAAGACGATTGCATACACACTTCAAAGTGTTTGCTGTTCGCAATACAGTATATTATATGATTTATCGTAAATGAGCACACAGTCCATTATAAACATTATACCGTATTCTATTTAAATGAATTCTTACAAATATAATTTATTTATATATTATTTTTTTCCTTTAATCCTTATAATGTTAAAAACGAACCCAGCGATCACGACGATGACGACGAATAATCTCAAATTTCTTCAATTTAGAAAATTGAAACAAACAAAAAAATTAATTGTTCACAAATGCAAACAATTGTTCGAATGAAAATGTCGTCGCCATATGTGTGTGTGGGACGCAAAGAATGTGAAATGAAAACAAAAAAAAATATATGCAGTACAAAAAAGTAGTTTTCAGACTATATTAATCTGGCAATTGGTTCATTTAAATATTGACAATTGAATATAATGAAAAACATAAAAGGAAAATCATCGTAGACCACCATATCCAGAATATTGTTTTTTTTTTATCGCTGTCTCATTCGAATTTCAAAACAAAAAAATTTGAAAAAAAAAAACCATAATTGTGACGCGATCAAATTAATTAGATGATGAAATTGCTTTTGTTGTGAGGCAAACAAAAACAACACACATACACGAATAAAACAAAATCTGGGAGAAAATTCAATTGTGTAAAAAAAAAAATTGAGTGCTGTGACTGCAACTTTTTAAGCATTAAATTTTAATTAAAAACAATCACACGAGAGACAAAAACAAACAATTTAAGCTTGATTTAAATAAGTGTGTGAAGTTATGAACGATCCTCTTCTTTGCTCATTGGCAAAATGGTGGAAAATTATGTTTTTTTGTTTCTCACCCCGTCGCCAAGATGCTCTATGGCCAAACGATGAAACAAATTTACATCAAATGTTAGTAATTTTAAAACAAATTTATTATAAAATTGTTTAAAACAAGATTAAAAATGAAAATACATTAAATCAATCAGTTTATTATGAATTCAAAATATACTTGTAATTGTAAGGATATGAGAAACCTTACACACACCCCACACCCTCTCCGCCTACTCCTACACACAACTCTTCATTTAAATGTTGAAGGTCAACTTATTAAGAATTCCCCGACACTCTAACATAACAGACTGTAGCAAAACCTAAATACACAACACCCAAAACAAAATCCACAGTATCGTTTTAAACAAATAAATAAAATAAAACACTAATATGTAAAACCTATGTAATTACAACATGAAAACAACAAAAAAAATCTGTTCAACACACTATCATTTAATAAAATATGAAAATATAGAGGCGTAAAATTTTGTTTTTCTTTTTTTATTCTTTTGTAACAAAAAATCTAATATTTTAACATTAATAGACTCGAGTGCAGGGAGTGGTAAATTATTCAGCTGTTTCGATACCAGTATCCAGAATTGTACCTATCGTATCCACTATTATCAGTTAGTCTATCAAACTCTGCGTTGAAAAAGGGGCCCACAGCCACACAAAATCGAAAGTTTGTTTACCAAAATGCCAATTTTTTCTAATTATTTTGATGGATCTGTCTCCACGGAAAAAAGACGTAAAACAGTGATAATGATCTGAATTTTATTGATTAATCATACTGATAATAATTTTTATGATACAAAATAGAATTTTCGGACAATTCAAATTCATTCGTTGTTTATGAACCAACGTACGAACAATAGTGGAACCTTTTTAATGGCACCATCATATTTTGCTTTGAATTTAGTCTTTGGCGGTTTCTTATTTATCTCAACCGCCTTCACCTTGGAACATTGTGAACTTGCACGAGTTTCATTGGAACAAGGAAATATGTTGACTCATATAGTTCGGTTACGAAATCAATCAATTGCAAAGTGCTTCAATGTTATAGTTGCCGGTGAAAATTCGAAAAAATGTGACCAATGTTGCGCAAGATTGTCAATCCAAGTTGATGGTAACAAAAATGTAACATTTTACACACACATTAATTTCATTAAAGACCAACGGCTGGAAATATTGACATGGTTGACCAAATGTAGCGACGAAAATGGCGCAGTTGAAATAATTAAAGAGTTTTTATTTGACGCCAAACATGGAGTAAGATATAAGAACGTTCAATTTTGGCATTGTATTCAAATCAGATTTTTCTATTTATAGTTCAACATAAGTTTCACACAAATGCCAGAATTAAAATATATCCATATCATTTTGCATGTGGACAAATTATTAGAATCAGAAAATACAGACATGGAAGTGGAGCCTATCTATAATTTAACTATATCCCCGACTCTTCCCAGTGATATGACCACTGAAGCGATGGGAATGCCGACGATGTCTTCAGAAATTAACGAAAATCCAAAAGAAATAATGTGGAAAGGGATCTCAATTGGATTTATTGTACTCACAGCTGTTTTAATTATTGTTTCAGCATGTTTGTGGCGTGCGCTGCCAGACTCTAAATCACATAAGGAAGAGAATACAGAAAATGCATTGCAAATACCGAATCCAAATGGTGAAATATCTGTCTAAACTTGAAAATGGAAAACATTGTAAAACTACCGATTTAAATGTTGCAGATCAATTTATTTCCGATAAAATTGTAAAACCTTATATTTAATAAAATGAAAGTATTTTCGTTATTAATCTGGTATCTGTTATTTGAGCGAAATTATCGACTGCTACATACGCAGTTAACACAAATTAAAATGATAACAACAAATAAAATTGCAACGCCAAGGCCAATGATAACCCAAATCCACGTATTTTTCGAACTAATTTCTATTGGCCCTGTGGATGTTGTACTGGTCGGAATTAAGGTGGTAGTCATAGTAGGCGGTTTAGTTGGCTTTGTAAAATCGCTTGTACACTCGGGCACTTTAATGGCCGTATTTGTTATGTGTAGAAATTCAATGCCAAGGCGGCTGTATTCATTCATGAACGCTTTTATTTCGACCTAAAAAAAATAAATTTATTTAAAACATTCTTGAAAAAGTACAAAAAGCATACACCAACCCGAGCATTTGGAATATTTCTAAAATAATTGCCACGAAGAATAGTCCAACCGGTAGTTCCATCGGTGTGAATTGATTTGATGAGCTCATGTGTTCGTTCTTCATACACGTTAAATTCGACGAATGCATGATTTATGGATTTAAGGTATAGGGCCGCTTCTATAACTGTATTTGAATCAATTTTTAACTCCATGCTGATCTCGACACATGAATAATTGAAAAAATTGTTCGCTAAATAGAACATCGAGTTTGGTCTGTATCGTAGAAAATCTTTATTGGTTGCATAGCTTTTTGAAGCAAGTGGTAAGTGATTTTGGCTACGACATTCACGAACTTCATTATAAATTGGACGATTGAAATCGATTTTGGCACAATACTTATTCGCGAACGATATATCACAAAGTACTATCAATGTTAAAACTAAATATCCATAACACATTTGACCGCACATTTTGAATTGTATGTTTGAAGAGCTTCTTCGTCACACTAATAACGACTGAACATTTCTTCTAATTCTTGTCACATTTATATGTGGTTCATCACCATTTGCTTTATATGCGCCATAAATTTTGACGCAATAAAATTATCGGATTCTTGTGAATTTGATCGCGTTTGATAAAATGTAATTCGTTCTTTTATTACTGCATTTATAACAATTCAATATTTTGTTGGCAACGCCGGTTGAACTGTTGTTTTAGTTTCATTCAAAGAGCGTAATACCAAGTTTTAAATTTCGTTTTTTTTTGAAAAACCTTGAATTTTCCGAACCGATCATTTTTAGCAGGCGAGTCAGTATGGACGTGAATGTCATCTTATGTTACCAAGTGCTGTCAAAATTTGTTCCGTGTGCCTCAAGGTCATCGAATTTAGATAATAACCGACCATCCGCATTGAAATCTAGAAATTTCGTGGAAAGTTCGTTTTACAATGACAATCCAGTCATTGTTCTATGAAGCATAGTCCTGTTACTGTTTTTCAGATAAAAAATCGACTAAAATTCTTGGAGGCATTTGGCATTTTTTTTTTTAAATGTTATCCATTCAATTATGGACTCATTGTAATCATAATAATAATAAAATACAAATGAAAAACAATATTTACTTGCTTCAAAATTCATGTTCAAATTTATTTCCGATAACAATCTTTAAAGATTAAAATAGTATAACATTGAAAAAATTAAATTTCAGAAAATTCTGTATATTTTCATTTATTTTGGTTGATTCGCCATTTTCTGGCGACGATCAATTATGCAGTAAATGCCAACTGAGAGGAGGATAAAACATAAAATGCCCAATGACACGGCAATGATGACCCACCATACGAGGAACGGCTCTGGTTTATAGGGTGGTCGACATTCTTTAGTGTTAATAGCCGAATTTAGAACATACAAATACTCAATTGCAAGCATGCTTTGTGCTGTGATGCTTCCGGCGATTATTTCGATCTAAAAAAGAATGGCAAATAAACCATGATTATATTCCAGCTTGTCTATTAATGTGTATATGTATTTACCTTGGCGTTCGGTACGTCTACACGAACACGACCAACCAGCTCATTGAAATTTCCATAGATATTTTGTCTAAATCGCTCCATAACCTGATTTCTTGACGCATCGTACACGACGATCTCTACAAATTCGTCTTTTACTTTTTTCAAGTAAATGTTTGCGTGAATGGAGGAATTTGCAGTCAATGATAGTCTTGGAGCAAGTTCAGCACACGAGTTAACAAAGTTGTTTGATAGATATTGTTTCGAGTCCGAGATATGTGGTTTGAAGTTTTCGTTGAAATCTTTGATGACAAACGGGCTCTTTGATTTATCTCCACATGGTTTCATATCTTTCGAAAATGTATTTCGATTGAATTGAATCTGGTGACAGAATTGTTGAGCCGCAATTGAATCACAAAGCACCAAAATGGCAACCAAATACACGGAATAGATTCGACTGATCATATTGAATTTTATGTTAGTTCTGCTTGCAACACCTTCACCACGAAATTAGCGACTGGATTTCGAGAATTGCTCTTGTCTAATTTATATGTTTCACTGATCGGATCTTGGTTTTACCGAAAAAGAAAGAAATGAAAAAAATAATTTCGTCATAAATTTTTGGCTATAAAAAGCAAATAATGCTGCGACACACGTCGCACTTCTTTGAATTTAATCACATTTGATAAACGTTTGATTGATTGGTTTAATTGCTGTTAATTTGTGCACACTTTCAAAATTACAGGTGTATTACTTACGTCTGCACACATGAATGAAAATGAAATTAAACTATTCTGATAAAAACCATATAGTTTTTTATTTGTATGCCAATAATCGAAATTATATTATTTTTTATTTGTTTGTTTTATGCGTGGACAATTTGGCACATTTTTTTCTTTCGCGACAAATAAAAATTCATTGCTTTGTACCTGTCTTTAGATACGCACTTGTGGTCAATGATCATGACACGGATATAAACTTTTTACACTCCTTGGTGCAATTGATCAACTTAAATTTGGAGCAAGACTCTGTGGGTGTTTGAAATGTTTAATTGAATTAAAATGTGCTCTTCAATTAATACATGCGGCTTCCACGATATATATATGCTAAACCTTCTCGGGGCGTGACATTGGAGTGAAAACATGATAAACTTAAAGGTGATTCATAGTTTGCAATGTGCGTTTTGCAACGCAATGAATGATAGATAGCTTAGAATCTTCTGCAAACATTCATAGCTTATGGCTTATTTGATCAGCTAAATCTTCATGTATAATAGATGATATTTGAATTTCATATACTGTCTGTTATGAGTCAATTGGCGAAAAAAATGTGTCCGTTTATTTTTATGCGTGGACCTTATTGATCCACAAGAATCGCCGTACCAACGTTACCAACTTATTCCATATTTTGTAGAGTGTGAACATCATATTGCAGGGATAAAGGTGTGAATAAAGCCATTTCAAAATGGTTAATCTCAATTTATGATGATACAGTTCTGTTGAATTGACGTAGTTTTTTATTTGTACTTATTTTTCATCCAGGTTAAATGATAAGCTTAATCTACCGAAGAGGTTTGTTTGAATGGAAGTAATTCTTAAAGAATGAATAAAAGTAAATTTGTTTTTGCTTCTTGAACATTTATTTCCGATGAAATTTATTCAACAATAAAATGATATAATATGGTTTGAGTTGGAAAACAACATTTTTTTTTATTCTTTTCTCATTAACTTTCTAAATTTTTCGAACGTTTTCGACGTTCCATTATGCAGTAGATTCCGATCAAAATAAGCAGAATCAATACAATGCCCAGACATGTCGCAGTAATTGCCCACAACCAAACTTGTTGTGGATCTGCCGGTTTTTGCGTAACTTGTGGTTTCATGGTTGTTGGTGGACGTGGTGGTGGTGGCTTTGTTGGAGGTGGCGGTGTTGGACTACAGTCGGGAGTCTTAATGGCCGTATTCAAAATATGTAGATACTGAATAGCCAGCACACATTGTGGTGTTAGATTATTCACATTCATTTTGATCTGGAAATTCATATCGCCAATTAAAAGTTTGAAACTGAAAAGTTTGAAAAGTTTGAAACTTACCCGAGCATTTTGAATATTTTTCGTAATATTCTTCTTTAGAACGGTCCATCCTTTGGTGCCGGTGACATGTAAAATTTCTTGTTGATTGTTTGAAACATCATATACGATGATATCGAAGAAGGCATTTCCAACTGATTGGAAGAAAACGGCCGTCTCAAGATGAGAAGTTGGGCTCAATGAAAACTTTGTTTTTGAAATTCCAAACGTGAAATCATTCACATTAGCTGATAGATAGTTTTTGAACGGTTGTCTAAATGGCGCAGGTTGTGTCCCAGGCTTATACTGTTTTGTGACAAACTCTGGACCGAAGTCGGGATTGGCTGCACGATTGAAATCCAATTTGGCACAAACTGATCATGGAAAATAATTTGTATTAGCAATTTTGAATTTTACGGAAGTGGATTATTCTTTTTTAGTTACCCGTTGGTCTTGCAGCATTTTGTTGTGGCTGTTGAGCTTGTTGCGGCCTATTTTGTTGATTTGGCTGTGGTTGGTTTTGCTGTGGCCGGTTCTGTTGTTGCTGCTGTTGTTGATTCTGTTGCGGCCGGTTCTGTTGTTGTTGTTGTTGATTTTGTTGTGGCTGATTTTGTTGTGATTGAACGAAGTGATTGAAAAAACAGTCACTATAGAAAATGAGCAAAATTGTGAACAAATACGTGAAATATCTGGCCATTTTGAATCGTCTCTCGTAAAGAGTTACCACGAAAATAGCGACTGAACACAAATCATTTTGTCATCGTCTTTTATACGTTCAATTGATCGGCATTATCGAATGATATATTTTTTCTTTTTCGAAAATGTCGAATTTTATCATAAAATTATGGCTTTCGATATAGATCAAGCATTAGATTAAACAAATGTCGCAATTCTTCGAGTTTGATCGAATTCGATATATTAATTAATTTATTGCCATCATTGAATGCGTATGTTTTCGGATATAGTATTGCGTCAAAGCGTACATAGAAACTAACGGTAAATTTGACCAATTACCGTTTTCATTTGTACGCATGTTCTCTATTTCAAATTTTAAAGTGAACCATAAAAAATGCGTCATCATTGAATTTATTCATATTTATTGTTGTTTGATATATAATCTAATCATGTGACAAATAGATTTCTAGTAAAAAAAAATACTGCGTCCAATCCCTTACATTCTAAAAATTCGGCACACATTTCATGAGTAAATCGCGCAGCTTAAGTCTTAATTTTTCTTTACCGCTGCTGTAAATGTGTGTGGAGTTTTCAGATATTGTTATCAACGTATCGTCACTAAGTATGCGAATTTTTGTTGTTCCGCCGCCACACTGTTCAATTTTAACGTCATTGATTCCCTCTTGCATGAGCTTCTTAATGAATAGATCGACATCAACTTGACCCCATTCGTATTTTGTTTTTCGAAAAATTTCCTCTTGTGTTGGGGCACATGGTCTTTTATAAGTTGGTTGATCGCTCAAAGGTTCATCGAATGCCTGGAATAAACAAATATGTTTAGAAAATTCAAATTCAGATTTGTTGGAAATGCCACAAAAACATACTTTGATGTCATGTAAATTGTCTTTGACTTGAAGACAGCCGGTAATGGAAGAAAGATTTGTTCCGGGCGCTACCTCACGCGGAACGATTTGCTTTGCTATTTCTGGTGTTAAGAATACACGATCAAATGTTCGCTTCAATGGTAGTTTGATGACTTCACCACGATTAAATGTTATCACTTGTTTATCCTGTGAATTAAACATTGGCCATCAAAAATGTCAAAATTTGAAAAGTTCCAATCAAAAATAAAAGTAAGTATCTTACTTGTTTTTCAATGACCAATTCGGTTTTATGCGGTGCTATGAGCGGTGGTTTTGTGTACGATTCAGGAATAACCACAACGCCTGGTTTAAGTTCTTTTAGCAATTTATTGGCCTGTTGAAAATTCAACGATGTCTCAATTGGACAGTAGATGGCTTTCATCGAAAGTGGTTGATAAGGTGCCAATGCTTGCAGATATGGATAGTCTGGTTCAGTGAATATGATTGTATTCTGTGGATTTGGTCCCCATAATTCAACGAAATGAACAATATCACCAAAACGTAGACTCGGATGACCGCAAAACACAACACATGGTTGCTTGAATTCCTCGCTGAAACCAGGCGAATAGATATGTTTGAAGTGCTTTAGACGAGCATTTTTCACTAAACTCGCATGCGGGAATGGTTCATCAGGTATGTACACCTGAAAATGTAATGATCAAACACATATAAATATGTTATTGTTTTTTTAAACAGAAATTGATGAAATAAAATTGTAACCGTACCTTATTTTGCTTGACTGAACTCAACCATTCGGCCAAAATGTTCGAATATGCTAATGAGTGGTCTGCAACCGGAGAGATAAAAAACATTGGAACCAGTGACAGGCCATGGCTATCAAGACTTGATGAAAGACATTCAAACAAATCGTAGACAACGCCGGATGGATAGCAGGGAATTAGAACTGAGCCACCATTTCTTAATGTAACGCCAACATTCATGCATAGTTCGCCTAAATAAATGCCCGCAATTGAATTAAATCAATGTTGCAAAATTCAAGATTTTAAAAATACATACCAAGCATGCTATCTGGATTGACGTGTGGTGCTTGAGTCAATCCCGTCATAATGACAACATCTGAATTTTTCAATGCAGTCTGATTGATGGGTCTCGGATGTGTGGTAAGTGTTGATGAACCACTAATGTAAGAGATTTTTTCATGGCCCGAACTAATAACCCAATTGCTTGATCCCAAACAAAATCCAGAACTGACCGGCGATACGGTGAAAGCACCAAATATATCCAATTTCTCATCATAGCCGGCAATTTTAACGCGAGCCAAACTATTTTGAACGTCTTCAATGCTGAATATATGTTTCCAACTTTTCGGTTTGAATGCTTCATTTAACGGTGCTGGAAGTAAATTAAGAATATCTTTCCATCCAGTTGCCACATTTGGTTTTGGTGTAGTTTCAATGTATTCAACCAACTCCTCCAAAAAGAATCGACCGATTTGTAGGGTGGGCTCTGTTGCATACACTGTTCCAGAAAATCCAGTTTCACGTGTTATAAATGGCAATGCCAGCATATTCGAATAATTTGATATCAGTATGATATCTACTTCAGAGAAGTCAACAATTTTATCTAATGGTGTACAAAATTCCGGTGTACTGTCGATAAACAAGCGACCGCAACATTCTTTCAGTTCACCATCGATTTGAGCATCGTGTTCACGCGGGCAAATCCAATTCGGTAGCGATTGAAATCGTGAACTTTGAACCAATGGCATTGGTAAAAAATTTAAAACCGTTTGACTGGACAGACCACAATCCAACATTATCACCAGCTCTTTGAAACTTATCAAATAGCATGGCTTTGCCGGGTCACTGCTTAAGCAATACTAAAAACAAATTGAAAATTAATATTTCAACAGAATATATTTAGAATAGATTATAATTGATAGAAAGTAATAAATTTAAATGTTTTAAAAATTACCAATTTCATTTTAATGTAAAATTAAATTTCAACTACAGAATCGTTTGTTTTTAAAGAACAATTCGCTTGCTTGTCAATAAATGTTTATTATTTGCGATTGTCAACACAGTCTCATCTTTATGCAGTAGAGGTCGCTTTCGAAGCTTATTCCAATTGACACATTTTAAATATTATAACAGTTCGATATTGTCTATATTTGAACAATTGGTGAATTCAATAACCGTACATATATTCTTTGGGTAGAACATCAATGGCAAATTGATATACACAATGGCCAATCAAAGATACTTTTTACAAAAGGCTTTAAAAAATTGTGTGATTTCTGTCTCTTTCATTCACCTGCACATACACAATTCTGGCAATGACACACTGTATGCAAAAAAAATGTAATCGCACGTTTTTAATGATAAGACCATTTGTGTTTTGATGAACCAGAAACGGCATCACATAAATAAAGATTAAATGTTTTTGACATCTCATCTTTCGTCGCAGTTTGCGAATTGAGTTGTTTCGATTAATGCGTCAAATAAACAATTGTAAATAAAGTATCTTTAATATTTTCGGTGCAAATTCACACAAAGTTCCCGAAAATTATATTATTTAAAAATGAAGTGTTCAAAGGGATGCTGGATATTCTGTATATTGGTGCTGTTGTGCTTTCTTGCAATTCCATTGCACATTGGAACATTTCGAATACGAATTCCACCACGTATGGCTGAAGAATTATTTAAAAACTTCACCAAAAAATACAATATATCCTATCCGAATCCAAAAGAATTTCAAAAACGCTTCGGTATTTTCAGAGTAAGTGTTTTCGCTTTTTGCATGCACCTACCAATTGATTCGATACTTTGTTTTCATTTGATTTGTTAATCATTACATGTAGACAACACTTGAAGATATCCTCCGATTAAATATGGCTCATAATTCAACGGTGCATTTTGGTATCACTCCGTATTCTGATTTAACTCCTGCCGAATTTGCCGCATTGCATCTGAATAAAAATATGTCACACATTGTGGCAGCGCGTTTGAAAGGCATACAAGAGAATCCACCAGTGAATATCAACTCGACAATGAAAATAAATAACATTAAATATGAGTTTACAAACAACAACGATTACGATCGTTATCCATCGTTTTATAAACCAAAATTATTAAACAAAAACATTAATTTCACGCCGTTGAAAGTTGATTGGAGAAAAGAGAATGCGCTACGACCAGTTAGATTACAGGGCAAATGTGGTGCTTGTTATGCATTCAGTGTAATCGAAATGATTGAAGCGGCTTTGTCGATAAACAAAAATCTAACAAAAACGTTAAGCGTTCAACAAATGATTGATTGTGCTGAAAATGGGAATGATGGTTGTGGCGGTGGTGATTCATGTTTGTTGTTGCAATGGTTAGTGGAAAATCAAATAAAAATTCGCACCGAACGTGAATATCCGAGGTCGGAAGACGGCATGAATCAAACATGCCATGTATTGCTTGACGATTCAGCATTCGGTTTGGAATCATATCAAATCTTCGATTACACGTGCAGCAGGTAAGTGACGAAGCAAAAGAGCGTTGCATTCACATTTTTCGAAAATTTAATCATTTTTTTTTCATTTGTAGTTTCATCGGGAATGAAATTGCATTGTTAGAAATAATCGCAAATTATGGACCTGTTGTTGCAGCGGTCAATGCCACGCCATGGCAACATATCCTCAGTGGAATTATCCAGCATGAATGCGACTCAAGTGCCGTAGATGTAAATCATGCCGTCTTAATTGTTGGTTATGATCGATCCGGACCCATTCCCCATTATATCATTCAAAATACGTGGGGTGATCAATTCGCCGAAAATGGTTTTGTTAGAGTGGCCATCGGAAATAATACGTGTGGCATTGCCACTCAAATCGCATTGGCCCAAGTGGAAAAATAATCATTTGAGCGCATAAAAAAAATACAATAACAATATTTTTCATTCAGTTTATTACAAATAAATAGAACTCGACGTATACATATAAATTAACAATCGATTTAAAAATTAAATTTGATATTTGGATATGCTACACATTAAAAAAAAATGGGAAATAAACGAAATTATTGAATGAAATGTCATTGTTCAACATTGTTTATTCGTTTGGACCACGGTAAACACCGGCAAATAGCACTTCTTTTGATTTTTGATCGTGGATAAGGAACATAAATGGATGATTGCATATGAATTGCGCCGGTTCTGTTGGTCGTGATGATCTAAAGCTAAAGATTGCTGTTGCTGCAGCAGCTACCGAACCCTCTTCATCGATTTCAATTTTGGCTTGATGTACAGCATCGTCGAATTTAATCGATTGCTTTTCGGAAAAATCACTCAAATCAGCACTGTCTTCGAACAAATTTCCAACGCCCATCTCTTTCAAAATCTATGTACGGTGAAATAAATAGAAAAATACTAACAATATCCGAACATTTCATGATGAACAAATATTTTTTTAAAAACTTACCGGCACAAGTTCAAACTTTCGTTCGAACGAAATTTTTGGGAATTCAACATCAACTTCACGTTGTAATCCACCACTGAACACTTCTTCATCCAAAATTTCGGGCGTTATTTTTTCCAAAAATTCATCAATTGCATTCACTGTGAACACCGGCAAAAATATGTACATTGAAATTGATCCATCCTCTCCTTTGTACGGCATTTCCAAGAAAACAGTATTAAGCTGTTCAATAACACCTGCCATCCGAAATAGACAAACAAATCTTAATTGGATGCTAACATTGTGATCATCATAAAATCATACCATAATTGAAATAGCCTCGTTGTTTCATCATATCAACATAGACTGGCATGCGGCTGTGTTCATAGAAAATTTTCTTTTGTGTATCTTCTTTGTCGAATTTCGATGCCCAGTTTCCTTTGAAGAAGGCCGCATTTGCCAGCACAACATTTGTATCGGTGCCAATGGAACCCGGTGGTAGAAGATCTTTAATATTTGCTTTAGTTACATCTTCAACAAATTTGTTTATTTTTTCACGGGATTCTTCTGGTTCAGTGGCAAAATTCAATGTCTCAATATTTTCATTGAACATTTTTTTGATACATTCTCTGCAACATTTGTAAAAAAACCGTATATTATCATCAATAAACGGAAACAAAACTAAATCATTCAACAGATTCATGTACTTACTTCACTTTGACTTGTTTGGAGAAATAGAGTTTATCGACTGATTTGAATTCAACGGTTTGGTGTTGAACACGGTTGGCTCTTGCTTGTTTTTCGAGTTCATATGCATGACTGACATCGGCTTTGCTATTCGCCCAGTCCAATTGTAATGTGTTTTTCAATGAGTGTTCTGTGTCACCTTTTGCACCAAAGTAAGCCAAGAGCAATGCGCGATACGTACTGTGCGGTGAAAAGAATAAACTTTCATTTGGACGGGCTTTTTGAAGTGCATCTAAAAGGCTGATGGTAAATTTGCGCTGTCCATAATATAGTTTATCGGCTGAAAGTCTGGATGTGTCATTTCGAGTTAAACATTGTGACCACACTAAAGGCAACAGTGTCGCAAGTGCAGCTATAATGATTGCTTTGTTCATGATTTCTGAAACATAAAAAAGAAACAAAAAAAATCGTGTTTTGAATATTACGTGGCGAATCGTAAGTTGTTAAATGAAATTATAAACGTGACGTAGACTATTGTGGCCTCCGATATTCTGTCTCAGATAAATAAATTACGATATTTCGGACTTTCCATACGGTTGACCGTGTTTAAGACGGCATGTTATGATAATGCGTAAAACTTCAACAATGTTTAATTGTACTATCATTAGTGCAAAATGTTTTGGGCTTTTCCCAAACCGAAAAATTCTTGACCTCTGTTTTTGCGTGTCTTCAATTATGATTATAATAGCATATAATATACGAAAATAAATGAAGTCTATTCTATGCACCATTGTCATAGAATACAATCTACGATTATTTGAAAACAAAGCAGGAATGACCTTTTGGCGCTAAAAAAATGTTTGTCGATAATAGAGTTGCCATGATCAATTAAACTCCCACGGTGAATAGAAAAATGCACGTTTTGTTGTGCAAACATTTGTAGTTGAATTATAAATATTTCCACCGCTACACCATTTGAATGACTCACTAACTCATTGGAATTCATTAACCCAAGAGGTGAAGCGCTTTAATATTTTATGACTGCAGAGATAAGCAATATTGGTAGCTGTGCTGTTTACCGAAAACTTTTATACTTATTTTATTTGAATTTCCGCTTTTTCTTATCGTACAGAATGAGTTTTTATGAAGTTTAAAAAAAAAAAAAAAAAAAGACATAATATCAAGGAAGTCTCATATTAACTCTTAGTCATTTATTCAATTGCCTATGTGTCACTCACTAGATTTCATTTAACTTGTGTAATATGTCTTGTATAACTTATGAACGAAGTATTAATTTAACATGTAAACAATCGCATTCAGCATTGACGTTTCTGTGGCAATGATGGTTCGTCAGCACTGTCGGAGAAAGTGAAATTGAAATCGTGTCTCAGCCATGACTTCATTCAACATGAGCAAACGCAGTCGCTTTGATTAAGCACAACATTATATGATGGCGATGGCGTGGTAAGCAAATCATTTTTAAAAACACTCTCCAACAGTGAAAATTTCTATGTTAACATACATCATCCGTGTATTATTCATGGTTATGATTACCTCATCTCAAATTTTCGCTTCTCAGAATGAGTAAATCAAAATTTGATATTCCATGAATAGTATTTCACCGAATACAAAACAAACTAAATTGAAACTTGAAATGTAGCAATTTTACTTTTAAAGTTTGGATATTTCTTATTCATTAACATTCTGTTGGGGCATTTTTACATAAAATGAACTTCATGCAATTGCCGAAAATATCGATCGCAGTTTCGATTCATATTGAATTTCAAGTAATTTACATTTCGGTTCCATTGAAATAAACGGGACTAGTATTGTGAATATTAATGTAACTGTCATTTTGGATTATTTTAGATTCAATGTCCAACAACTTACAAGAATTATTTATACTAAAAAAAACCTCATTCAATTGCAATTCCTTCTCACAACATATAATGCTTAATGTACCACGATCACTTTCTTTTTATGGAGATTATTTTCTTTTTACTTCCGGCCGCTCTCAGAGATAATATGGAGTACATAGTTAAGTTAAAAAATAGAGGTTAATATATTGGACTCAATATTATTGGGGATTCGCCAAAAAATATACTGTCTCTATACCATTTTATTCGAAATATGGTAAATAATGCGGTATTCATGAAACACGCTTGGAAGACACCATTAAGGGCATCACCACAAAAGATAAGTAAATACCCAAAAACACAGTCACCAATACAGCTTACTTACTGATTGTGAACACCGAAAATATAAATTTATTTATAAAATTCAAATAATGTTGTTTACTTCATTGTTTATATTTATTTCAATGGCATCGATAATTACGTTAGAAAATCAAAAAAACACACTCGATTCTATAGCATTTTGCGATTAAAAGTCCGTCAGCTGATAACTTGCTTTACAACAAAACTACATCTAGGAATTTCCCAAAACATGAATACTAAAACTAGCAGTGGAAGCGAATACAGTGCAAATTTTGTTCACTTAACCGAAGCGGGCTTTCTACACGCTTCTTTTGTGTAAAAATTACAATACAATATGGCACATTGATGAAAAAAAAACCAAAATGAATGGAAAAACCAAAACGCAAGAGAAATGAGAGATGAGTTAAACAAAACACTATACACTGACACGGATGTGAGAGAAATTTAACGAAAAAAAAGGTGTCTCTATATCGACTAATGGGCGATATAACACATTTCGACTCTTTTTCATGCAATTTTGACAGTGAAATGAACTATATGAACTTAATTGTTTTAGAAAGTGAATCCAATATGAAAATCACCGAGTTTCCACAACAAGTTCTACAGTAGTTGGTATGAGTTTGTTATTGCGTATGTGATTTATTCGAGATGTAAAATGAGATATTTAACACAATAGCATAGAAACACCTCAAAATGTTTGAATTGTGTCACATTTTATTTTACAAACAATATTTCTGATGAATATATTTTAAAAATTGATTTTTGCTATCAAAATTAAGCACAAAATAAAAAATAAAATAATCCTGAATTTATTTAAAACCAGTTAATACCTTCTTTAATAGAATCACAAAAATCTTGTACAGATTTGTTCAAAATATATTTGGATTCGACAACACTTTTTTTCTCTATTACACACTTTTCAACGATCTGTTCCACACAAAAGACTTCGCACAACTAACGAGAAACTGGTTTCACCGTTCATATAAACACTTCGTTTCGAATATATTACGTTGTATTATTTGGTTGTGTGTGTGTGTTTTTTAGTTTTGTTATTTGATTTTGTGTGAAGGTATATATTTTGTATTTGCTTTTGCTTTTGCTTTGGATATTGTACATGTTATACCGAACCGTTGATGTGATGCAGTACAATCGTCTGTTGTGCGCTATTGTATATGGGATTGATAGATGTCACAAACGAGAATATTTATGAGATCTTATTTGTGGTGAATACAAAATTAATTTAAATTATTAGCACTTGCAAAAAATCGAACTATTTTGTTTATTCTCGAATTAGTCATTGTTTCAGTGCAGTTTTCATTCAACTAGCAATTACTCGAAGATGTCATTTAAATAAATCACCGCAACGTTAGCGTTATTTAAACGTTCTATAATTTTTCAAGTGTTCGAACAATAATAAATATTGCACTTTTTAACATTTCATGATATAGAGATTCGCTAGAGAACTAGTGTGATAGTTTTTTTTAACAAAAGAATGATGCATACATTGAACAATGAGCGAACCACTAAATAAAATTGTTTACCCGTGAAAAACCCAACAAAGTGATTTAAATTCTGTGATTAACCAAAATGAAATTAAACAATTGATCGTTTTATTTTTTATGAGTGAATATGAATATTACGTTCAATCGATTTTGAATGAACACATTTGTTCGCTAGGCGGATTCAGTACAATATATATTTATTTCTCTAAAACAATGGTCTCACGTTATTGAATTTTGAAAAAAATCAACGGATCACATTTTAAAATGGAAAATGATACATTCTTCGGGACTTTTTCCCTTAAACCTCTTGTTTTGTATGGAAAACAACTATTCAGTTTCTGTACGAATCCATAGTTTTGTTTTTCTCATTGACTAGACTAGTTTTAGTTATGATATATTACGTAATTTTAAAAATCTTACCTTTGATGCAGTAAAAAGTTCAACATAGATATAAATGAACGAAATAGAATCTGAATAAAACATGCTTTTTTAATACGCTATTTGTTTTTATTCAAGATTGTTTTTACAGTTTTATAGCTATTTGGTTTGACAGGCAAACTGCTTTGTATGCTGATTTTATTCGAAACTCAATTGGTTTCGGGTTTATTTGAGTCGTTTATGTCCACCATGTTTCGCGCGATGGCCACGATGGAGGATCACTTTCTTTCTTCAGTCCGCGATACAATGAGCTTCTATCACGGTAGATCACCATACTCTCGGTGTCCGAACGATCAATAATGCAACCAATATTAAAGCCAGCAATTACGGCAACAATCAAAGCGAAGCATTCACGTTCCGTTCCGGTGACACGGATCATTCGTTGAAATAAATTCAATGGTTTTGCACCACTCATGGTTAACGGCAATTTTATGGAATTTCCTAAAAAAAGGCGAAAAAATATACAAAATATTAGAATTTATATTAAAAAAATCCAAATCCCTTGCTATGTTAAATTGAGGTTAAATCTGAAAAATATTTTCAAAGAAAATTTTCGAAACGAACAAATAAAAGTTCTCAATGCATTTAATATTAAATGAAAGAACACAAAAAAATCTAGCGAAATACATCTTATCTATCGAATTTAAAAGGGAATTTCTGATAAAAATAGCGAAAAATAAAAGAACTTTTTCATTGCACTCACAATATTTTCTTCTTTGACTCTTACGAATGACATAACAACTCGAAGTGTCAGATGAGGTGAGATGACGTTTCTTTTATAAGTGTTATAACTGTCAAATGGTCTAACGAAACCACCTTTGTAATGCATTCACAAATCCATTAGTTTTGTATATACGGTAGTGATGACTGAATCACTGCAAAATAGCTAGAGAAGAAAAAAACATAAGAAACGAAAAATCACATACTAATTTTAAATTGTAGCTTTAAAGGTATAGTGTATTTAAATCCATTTGAAGATTTGGTTTTCTAATTTCTAAAGAACTTAAAAATTGAAATTTTAATGTATTAATATGAAATCCATTGACAGATCAATAGTTTATTGACTTTTTATTACTTTCTTCACAACTTTCTTCAACCCAAAATGACCAAAAATAGAAATCAGCAATAATTTAAAAAAAAAATCGCAATTTTATCGATTTTAGTAACATCAAAGTGAAACAATGTCTGAACCAAAATTGCGTGTGGGTCAGAAGGTCGAAGTGGCTGGCAAAAATATTCGCGGTGAAGTAGCGTACATTGGTATGACTACATTTGCGGCCGGAAAATGGGCTGGTGTTGTACTAACGGAACCAAAAGGCAAAAATAATGGTACAATTCAAGGAACTGCATATTTCACGGTTCGTGTACTTTTCATTTCCCAATTATTTTCCACACATAAATAAACTTTGTATGTTATAAATGCAATATTATTTGTACAAATATTAATACGGTATATTCAAATATTTTTGTTTCGTGTTAGTGTCCTGAAAATCATGGAATGTTTGTGAGACCAACGCAATTGGTTCCGCTCGATGATGCTGGTAATCCAATTCAAGAAGCAGCCGAAGAAAAGCCACAGAGATCACGCTTAAGCAGGTAATGTCATATAGAAATGAAACGATTAGTTTTGTGAATGTTTGTAACTGGCCTGTGGTTATTGTAAACGTGCTTAAAACAGCTTTTTTAACTGATTAACACCCATCCAAAAACTATTTGTGAACCATTTATTTAACTGTTTAATTATTTTGAACTCTTGTTTGTATTTTTAACCATATTAAAATAAAAACCTTCCCAAACATTGTTGCGAATAGTGCAAGTACCGTTCGTTCGGTCACAAGTACGCGTCTGACAACGTGAGTATCATCTTAATTCCATCATATTCTTCATTCATTTTTCATTGAAGTTTTTTCTTAATATTTTGTTCATTTCAATTTCTTCTGTTTCTCATTTTGTTTCCATTTCCATGACTCTTTTCATCTCAAACATATGCATTTCTAAAACACTATGTATTTCTTTCTCTCTGTGTATTATTCTATTCCAATTTTGCTAAAATGCTATCCCTCTAACCAAAAAAAAACTAATTGTTGCTTGACTCTCCGTGTGCATCTTAACCAATATCATATTTGAATGTTAAACACCATTTTGTGTGATGATTTAAATGTGTGGATCATAAATAATTAGCATAAGAAGAAAATCGCCGATCAAAACACTGCAATCCAAGTCGAAAAATACGGATGATGCTGCATCGTTGGCATCAAACTCAAGGTTTGAAACCACATAAGTAAATTGGTGTTATTTTTGTTTTGTTTTATATTTTGGATATGGGTTACTCCCTTTTTATTTGAATTAAACAATTTTTTTAGCAAATAATTTCATTTGCTCCAATTATACTAATTTTTTTGTTCAATTCAATATAGTTCTCGCGTGTCATTGGCGGGAAGTCGTCAATCGTTGAGTGGATCACGTACGCAATTGTCGTCAACACCAAGTGAACGAACAACACCATCGCAAAGCACAACAGATCTTTCGAAGAAAGCAGAACGTCGTACAATGAATTCACCGCCAGAATCGGTGATGCCAGTGTCTTCGAAGCGAGAATCATTTGTGGAAACTGGTTTCTTGGAAACATTGAAACCACAATTCACACCAGGCCATCCAATCACATCGCCGGCTCTAACGACACAACATTCGGTCGAAGAGAAAATCAATTTACTTCAACTTCAACAAGAGAACGAAGATTTGCGCAATCAAATCCGTGACCTAACCGAAAAATTAGACACATTGAAGCAACGCCGTACCGAAGACAAAGAACGTTTTCGCGAATTTGAAAAAATGCAAACACAATTTGAGCAAATGCAAGAATTTAAACTTCGTATTATGGAAGCACAATCACAATTACAACGTGAATTGCAACGGGCTCGTCAAGAGACCAAAGATGCAATCGATGAGAAAAATCGACATGCTGAAGAAATGTCCGAGTTGGCAGAAAACGTTGAACTTATCACATTAGACAAAGAAATGGCGGAGGAGAAGGCTGATTTTTTGAATTCGGAACTGGATGCAGCAAAAGAGCGAATCGAGGAATTGACATTGGATTTACAAATTATCAAAGCCGAAATGGAAAATCGAATTGGAGAAGGTGGCATCACGGATGTTACATCAAGTAGTATAGGAACTGGAGGCGGTGCTGGTGTTGTTGCTGCTGGTGGCGAGCACTCATTTAAAATAACACAGTTGACACAACAAAATGAACGGCTCCGTGATGCATTGGTGAAAATGAGAGATTTATCCGCACATGAAAGACATGAACTGCAAAAAATGACCAAGGAATTGGAAACAAAAACATCCGAGGTCAACGAATTGCAACAAACAAAAGAGAAGCTATCGATTAAAATCGATGAATTAGAAACACAATTGATTGATTTACATGAACAAGTCGATGCGGCGCTTGGTGCCGATGAAATGGTCGAACAATTAGCTGAAAAGAAAATGGAATTGGAAGACAAGGTAAATGATTTTGTCGGTGGAATGGTTCTCGGATTGAAAAGAACTAATCAATTTTACTGAATTTTTAGGTTAAATTGCTCGAAGAGGAAATCCGGGAACTTGAAGCGTTGGAGGAGGTTCATGAACAATTGGTGGAATCAAGCCATGAAAATGAAATGGATTTGCGTGAAGAATTGGATATGGTACAAGCTGCCAAACGAGAGGTAATTTTGTAGGATATGACGATGTGATTAAAAATAACCAGTATGATTTTCTTGAATTCAGATGCAACGTGAAAAAGATGCGGCAATCGAGACAATCCTGGATCGGGACCAAACAATTCTGAAATTCCGTGATTTAGTGCACAAGCTCAATGAACAAATAACGGAATTGAGAGATCGTGCATCGAATGCTCAAGGCAGTAAAATCGATACCAATAAGAGCAATGCCAATCAAATTGTCGAGGCAATCGATTTCAAGCAAATGTTTGCCGAATCCAAGGCCTATACACGCGCGATTGATTTGCAACTTCGCCAAATCGAACTAAGCCAAGCCACCGAACACGTTCGTCTATTAACGTCGTTCATGCCGAGTACATTTATGAGTCGCGGCGGTGACTATGATGCCATTCAGATTAATTTATTGATTTCACGCATTATTTCCAAAACCGAAATAATCGTTGGACAGGCACGAGAGCGTTTCCCAGCTGTCGGTACAATCGAACGAAACGCCGTCGTTCAAGGGCATACCGTTCAACAATTCGCCTTTAAATCACGTCTTTTATATCACATATACAATTTAACGAGTGTGATGCATCAATTTTTGTTCGGTTTAAATTCATGTACGCCGGATCTATTGCTGAAAGCCGGCCAATCATTGCCTGAAATGCTTGCACAGGAAAAAGTTATCGATGGCATTGTTGAATTGTTGAAGGCCAATCAACTCGATGAAAATTCGTCAACCGATAATCTTGAAAAGGCCGTACTATTCTTCAATGCAATTTATTCGGTGCTATTTGGTGCTGAGGCCAATTTACTAAATGAAACTCAGTTGGTTCGTGACAGTGTTTCTTCGATACAATCAGCATGTGATTCGATTACCACCGACAGTGCAATGATACAATCGGTGATCAAAGGTGGTGATGAAACATCCGAGTCGGGTCTATTGCTTCAGTATGCATTGCAAAATGCGGATTCAATTCGTCAGCAGTTGAAGTTAATCAAACGTCGTTTACCTCAAGATTCTTCGGTTATTCGTTGTGGATTGTCTGATAAGACCATTTTAACGATTCGTCAAACAAATGAGCAACTTGGTAAAGTGATGAATACACTGTTCAATGCATCAAAATCGATTTTGCATTCGATTTCATCGACGGCTGCCGAAGCAACAGACATTTCATCGGTTACAGTGCCTAATACCAAAATTATGGACCTGTTGGCAATTGCATGTGAAAAAGTATACGAACAAGATGATCGTGGCCCATCGCAAAATTTAAAAACAGCATTATCCGCAACAAATACAGATATTGCACAATTGGCACAGTACCTATTGGATAATGAATATGAAATTTTGTCGGTCACATCAACGGCAAAACAAGATAAACCACAACCGCCAATCACATTGCGCGCACAATTTGTCAAAAAACAAATGGAAGAAACAAAGGCGCTTAAGGCCACTGTTGAAAACAGAGAGGCCGACATTCGTCAGCTAAAAGTCGATTTGAAATTAAAAGTGCAAGAATTATCCGACATGCAATATCGCAAAGATTTGGCCGAAAAGAAAGTATCGGTGATTCAACAAGAATTTGAAAAAACATCAGAAAAATTACAACGCCAACGCGATGATATTGCTGAACAACTAAAAAAGTACGTACCATTCTTAATTATTTAAGAATTTTTATATTTAGTGGGGCCGGTAACCGTGGTAGCCGTTTGATTTGATTTCATTTGTAGGAAAGAAAAAGAATACGAAGAGGGAATGAATCATTTGCAAAAAGATATCGACTCATTGGAATCGGAACGTCATCATTTGCGTGAGAACTTGAAGGCACACAGTACGAAGAAAGGTGACGTCAAGCAACCTATTACATTTGGTAAATATTTTTATGCAAATTTATGTGGGAAGTTACTAATTTTATAATTTTGTTGTTATACAGACACAGCAAGTTCCACGCCGTTTGTGGCTCAAGAGCTTTCAATACTGAAGAAAGCATTACAGGATGAGCGTGCCGAAAGAATTCGAATCCAAGCAACTGAAATGGAAAAGATTTTGAAAAATCTGAAACCAATCCATGTTCCACAGCCGAAAGATAATCGAATCAATGAACTAGAAAGGGATCTAATTAAAGTGAAGCACGTAAGTATAAACATTTACACTAGAAAGCTGACTTTTATTCACACATTTCCATACTTGTTTAGGACTACATTATATCATTGGCAAATGGCAGCAAAATTCCGAAAGGCAACACATCCCAAACAAATATCTCAAAACTATTATATGATCAACAAAATAAACAACGCCAACTTAGAGAAGAGATTAAAGTATGTAGAAGTTCTTATGAAAATGACACACTCAGTTATAAAAATAATTAAATTTCAATCGATTTTCAGGCACGCGTTGAACAACTGTCAACGGAGGTAGTTCATGAATATTTGCGACGGAAACCACATCGCGCAATTAAAGGAGACTTTGCCACTTTTCCTACAAACGAACTCACACGAACGCTAATTGCCTAATTGTGTGTGATGCCACACGAGCATAGATTACTATACCAGTGTGAACCAATCAACCTATATGGTTATTGTATGATTTCGTTGTTTTGAAGAAGAAAAAAGAAAGACACATAGACTTAAAGTACATTATTCAATATTATTTCATTTTAAATAAATTAAAAAAATTATTCATATAAAAGAATTAGTATCAAACAGACCCCACACAACTTTCGCTGCTTGACCTTCCTGGTCCAAGGTCACAGCTTCTGTTCCATCTGCTTGATCTGTTCCTCCATTTCGACTTGACCTTTTTTTTAAGTTCAACGATTTGGCGGCAGCAATTGTTCAAAAAATTCTCCAAGGTATGTCTGGCGTGTTTGCAAACTTGAAGCCGTGTTGTTTAACGCAGTCAATGTGGCGACCATTCCCTTTTAGCGCTTCACGTTAGCTTCATAAGCTGAATCAGCTGCGAAGCCGAATCACCTCTTTCTTTGCGATAGCAGCTTTTATCTTTCTACATCTGCTGACTTATATTTCCGAGGAGATTCCAATACTTTACCTTACACACTAAGTGCGTGCGGAAAAATAATAACAACCAACCAAGAAAATCGCTCTCAATCTTTGCACATGTATGAATGTGTATACATTACTCCAATTTGGTTCTTCTATTTGTACGCAGAACAAACGTGTGTATCTCATTATCGGTTAATATGTACACTTGCGTTTACACACATATAATTTCAAGCGATACTTAGTAGCACAACGGTGAATATTCAAATAAATTTCACTCAAATTCTGCATTTCAATGAGGCTTTTGATCAAAGAGATACACTGCCAATTAGCACAACGATTGCAATTGAAATGGATTTTTATCATTTTTACTACGGTTTACCGTCTGTAGTTGCTCGCCAAATGTTATAGTTCGTTCACATTCATAAAAAGGTGTGTTAACAAGCAAGTGTTTCCAACTACTCAGCTGTTTTAATAGTAAACTCATTATCAATTGTCAATCCAAATATGTATAAGAAATTTTCATCGAAATATTTTCAATTTTATTTTATTTCAAATCAATTTAAAATGTTATACATAAAAAATAATTAGTATCAAAAACTGTCAACCTCTCGAGAGAGAGATTCGAACACGAGAAAATTTAAACTGAAATAGCAAAACAATGGAGAATCACATCAATATAAATATAAATGTTTGTTTTGTTGTTCTCAAAATGCATAATTTATGAAAGGGTGCTGTGATTGTTAGTGATAATTGAAGAAAATCTAAAAACTAATGTTATATTTCCGAATTCTGAATATCAAATGATGCGACATGAATGTGCATGAACGTGGGATTTCTATGTGATTTCAATTTTCGGCAACGATCACTTCGGTCGAAGTGTTTGGCTCAAGAGTTGCTTCATTCACCGTACTATTATCTTCGCCTTCATTATTACTTGTTTCGTTTTCCTTTGGAGTAGCTGTGCCATTGTCTTTTGAAATCTGGCTCTCGTCAGTCTTAATTTCATTGGAATCAATGGAATTATCTTCGTTTATAACGACATCACCTGCTGTCGAACTTGCTTCACAATCTCTGTCCCCTTCTTTCGACTCGATTGTATTTTTACCATTTTTGCCTTTATTTTTCTTTGCTTTGGATTTCTTATTTTCTACGGCAACATTCTTTCCCTTCGCTTTGTCATCTTTCTCGATTGCATTCAATTGACCTTGTAAGTGGGCGAGAGTTTCCTTCAATTCGCGGCAATTCTGCGTCATGATATCAAGTTTATCCGTTGGTTTTGGTGGTGGTTCAATGTCAGTCGGTTCTGGTGGTAAATCAGGCATCGGCGGGCGTTCAATATTATTGGCTTTAAGCGTATCGAGCAAAGCAGAGCGTTCCGCTTGCAGTGTGCGACACAATTTTTGTAATTGGGCCAATTGTCGAGCCGATTTCTTCATGTACTCATCCTGGGCTTGTTTATCGGAAATCGTATTCAATAAGGCTCGATTGGATTTTTCGTACTTTGTTCGCCATTCATATGCTTCCTTTTCCAATGTTTTGGTTCGCTTGGCCATTTTTTCCAATTCGGTTTTATACGTGGCAAAAACTCCGTTACTTTTCTGTAATGACGTTTGAAATTGATCGTACTTTTCTGTATAAATTAACAATTGTTCTTTTAAACCACGTTCGCGTACTTCCATTTCAACGATGGCCTTTTTTGATGCCAACACTTCTTCTAATGCCGTTTGTTTTTCTTTAAGTAAAATTTCCTTTTCGATTGTCGATTCCATTTGCACTTTTGCCAATTTAGCTTCGTTCAATTGAGTTTCAAGTTTTATTTGTTCGTTTAATTTTTCCAATTGTTTTTCACGTAACTCATACTGTTCGGCCAAGTACTTGAATTTCTTTGTCATTTCAGCATTGGCTTCCTTGATTTTCAAATTTTCTTCATTGTTCTTGCCAAGCGTGGCGAAAATGTCGTTGATTGACTTTTGGAAATGGGCTTGGGACTCTTTTCGTTTTTCTTCTTCATCCCGTATTTTCGACATACTTTCGCTCTTTATTGACTTCATTAATTTTTGTTGCTCACGACACACTTGCTCCAATTTATCTCTGTAGAAGATATAAACGACATGTCAATGATAGTTGTGAAATGCGTTGGGCAATAGTTTATACAAACCTGATTAAAACACCTTTATTGTATTCACGCTGTAAATGTTCTTTTTCGCGCAATTCTTTTTCTAACACCTTTTCATTTTGACGCAATGATGTTGTCTGTTTATTACTTTCTCGCTCCAATTCGATGTAGTTCTTTGCCAATAGTGCAATCTTTTGATCCACCGTAGCCGAATTACCTAGTGACTTGATCAACTGAATAAATGTTTATTTTATGATTAATTACAAATTTTTCAACAGAAAAGAATGAATCGTTTCACTTTTTATGCTTTTGAAATGTAGTAAAATTACCTTTTCAATTTGTTCATCAAGTTTTGCCGTTGCTTGTTTTTCATCGCGATTCGATTTTGACTTTACCTTCGTTGAATCCATTTTTTCTAAACAAAAATCCACAATGATTTTCTAATACTTTACTTCCACTAAGATGGTTATGTGTTTGAATTGCTATTTATCGATCAGAACACAGCGGAAAATCCTTTTAAATCCCGCTCACTGGGATTAATCGAAAAGTGTGTTTAAATTTTACGTTAGACGATTTGCGGTTATGTCCATTGTTTTTTCGATAATTCCATAAATGGCAAATATTCACAATCGTTGTCAATGTTACAAATACATATGAAGTTCGTTTACATCTGATGTCAGCTGAGACACATTCAGCGGTTATTTATTTGTTCGAAAAGAACAAAGAATCGTCTATTTTTAAATTAAATTTTATATAAATTAAATATAATTCTTTCTCATGAAAATGCATAAAAATACATTCTTTGAATCTTCTAAATGCTCCTATTTAATACTATTTTTTCCGCCTCTGCGTGACGTGAATTGCCGCCGTGAATACATGACAGTTGTCAGATTGTTTGTCAGTATGACTGCAGAGATCAGAAATTTTCATAACCTCAATTTTGTTTGCACTACATCAAAACAAAATCGAGTTCCATATTCTCGTGAGTTTTCAATGCGGCTGGCATTGAATTTTAAAAATATTATTAGTGATTTTACTAAGTGTAGATCAAATGGAATTGTTCATTTATAGTGGCATTGGTCAATTACCATCGATTGATTTTGACTGTCTTCGCATTACGGTAATGAAAGGAAAAAACATTGGCTTTCGAAGAACGAGAATTGCAACCGATTTCATTCGTTAATCCATTTCAATTTTTTACTAGGCATATGTAAAATTCAAGGAAATACCGGTAAAAATATTGACCAATGGCAATCCATATCATGCATCAACCGGATTTTTACCATATTTGAAAGACCACAATGAAATAATCGCTGGCTATGATGAAATCATCGAATACTTTCGATCAAAGGTACATATAGATATTTGCCCCTTTTCCTGATGGAATTGCTGACTTTACATTTGTTTCGATTTTATAGGGCTTTGACTATGACGATTTTCTATCAAACTCATACATGAACTACTTTGAATCACAATTCTTACCATACTTCACTTACCTTCTGTGGGGCGATCCAATCAATGCTGATACAACACGAATTTTGTATGCCAAAAGAATTCCATTCCCATTCAATTTCGTTTATCCACAGAAGTACATCCAACGAGCCTCTGACTACTTGAAAATTGTTGCAAACTTTTCAATTGAGGACAAATTGATCAATCACAATACGGCTGACATCTCATTAAATGCAAAGAAATACCTCAAAATGTTGGCAGAGAAAATTGAAAAGAAACGTTGGTTCTTCGGTGGCCAAAAGCCCGACGAATTAGATGCTTCAATTTATGCTGCCTTATCCATTTTAACAAATCTTCAGTTACAAAATAACGACCTGAAGTCGCACATCACCGAATGCCCAAGCTTAATAAATTATATCGATCGAGTACGTAAAAAATATCTAATGGACATTCGAATCGTAGAGAGTGAATCAAAACAAGCTGTCTTCGATCGCATACAAAATGTTTTTATTAACAAAGAAAAAGGCACCGTATCGAATGCTGTAATTAAAACATTATTTGGCCTGTTGACGATTAGTACGATGGTATTTTTTGCGATAAGCCATGGTTTACTTGAAATTGTTACCGACGACGATGATGCACAATACTACGACGGTGGCGATGACGATGCAGAACATTTCAGTGAAGAGTGAAATGATAACTGAAGACCATTTGCATTTTTTTTTTGTTCAGTCATTTATTTATGACAAATATAATAAGAGTTTATTCAGTTTGAACTGATAATCTGTAGACATGATTTATTTTAAATAAACAAACGATATATCTATCTATCTATCTATCTCTATCTTCGTGGTCTAACACGGTCATTATGGTCAAAAAACCGTATTTTTACCATATTTTGCCTAAATTTTGCACATTTTATTGTCAAAAGGTGAGAATGTGGTAACCGTGATGGCCGACCATAATGGACCGTGGTAACTGGTTTCAAATGTAGAATTTTGACGATTTAAGCGATTTTAACATCATTTAACATGGTTATTAAGGTTGGAAATCACGGTCCATCGTGGTATAACACTATATAACACGGTTATTGAGGTCGGTATGATGGTACATCGTAGTCTTAAACCATTTAAAATGGTAAAAACTGTCAAAACATGATTTACCATGGATTTTGAGGCCGACGAAAATGTGTCAAAACATGATTTAAGATGGTTTACGGGGTCGGCCATCATGGTAAAAATTGTCAAAACATGATTTAACGCGGTTCGGCCATAATGGTAAAAAGTGTCAAAACATGATTTAAGATGGTTTACGGGGTTGGCCATCATGATAAAAACTGTTAAAACATGATTTACCATGGATTTTGAGGTCGACCATCATGGTAAAACGTGTCAAAAGATGATTTACCATGGTTTTTACGGCGGATTCACCACAGTTTTAACACGGTCCATCATTGTCAAACATTGCTTTTAACATTGTCGAAAATCGCTGAAAATCGTTCGATTTTGGTGCTGTTGAATTGCACTCGAATATTGCAAACTAAAGCCGAAATAAACGATCATGAAAAACTAATCATTCCAACAGCAACCTCCCGAAAGTGTACTGTACGCAATTTTTTTCAACCATTTTGTGGGGCACGATAATTCTTCTTAGAGAAAAGCAAATTCACATCTGACTTTACAGGGTGATTGGGATTGCAAGGAGTATCCATGATGTTACCCATAGGGGGTATGGTATGCGAAAATTTTGTTTAACTAGATAAATCTTTTCCCAGAGACGTAAATCAAAGTTTTGAAATGTGTAAAGGGGTTTTTTTGGTACGAGAAAACCGAATCTGACGTTAGTTTTGAGAAACAATCAATATTTGAAAAAGTCACCAAAAAAGTGGGGTTTGTACAATACGTTGTATAGAAGGTACCTTCAATTTGTATTGAAATTTTGCTTCGAATGTTATTTTTTTTTTTTTTTTGAAAGAAAATAGCCTGTAAAAAGTGTCATGTCATTGTGGTATCATACAGGTACATTTCTGGTGATTTTATCTTTTCCGTATAACACACACTTCACATATTTTGAATACTTATACGTCAAAACTCTATTAATTGTCCAAAAAAACTTTACTATTATTGATTTAGTACTGCACTACCAGTGCATATTCAATATCTTTTGGGGAATGAAAATTCATTCGGCAAAGGAAACAATTTTGGAAACAGTGCGGAAAACTTAGACTTACGAATGTAAATTCCATTTTAATATTAAAGGGTAAGGTTACGAGCGAGCGAAGCGAGCGAGTAACCGTCCAATATGTAAAAAAATATAGAAATATCGGAAAAAACTACCCAAGCACTCAAATTGCACTGTTCGTTCGGGGCATTTGCACCGTGCGTCAGATACGAAAACACAAAAATACAGAATACGGAGCTAGAGACTAAGAAAGTAGTGTATTTGCATATACGCTTCGTGCCTTGCGTCTTATTCGTTATTCCCCTTTTTGGCAGCCTTTGCCATGCAAACAGCTGAAAAAGGGGAAAAACGAATAAGACGCAAGGAATGAAGCGCATACGCACAGAAAAAAAAAGTTCTACAAGTGAAATTTCTGAATCTACCTCACTAGTGTGCTCGAAGATAAAATTGGTCGAATCAGTGCAACGTCTAGCGCAAGATGCTGCAATTTTTTGCTCGGTTATATACGGTTCTGGATAAAGTGAGTTCATATGCCAAAACATTCGCACAAATATTAAATATTTCATTAATTTGTTGGTATTTTTTTCCCAAGTAGGAATCCGAATGGCTTACCACTAGATGAATCACCCGAAAAAATTAAAGCAATGCTCGCATTAATATGGGATCCGATCCCGGGTTTGAAGTAATGTGATTCATTTTAAAAAAAATCATCTTTTAAACGTATTGACATTCACATTATTTACACACCGAATTCTCTTTTTAGGACTAAGATTGATGACAAGATTAAAGCGATCACGGAAAAAGGTTCGTCAAATTCATCAGGTGGTAGTTCAAATTCGGATGGAACGTGTAGTCAAGGTTCTTTAGAGTTTGCATCGAAAAAGTCACTTGTTCCTCGTGGTATAAAAGCATCATTAGATGATTTATATAGGAAGATCAAAAAATATGATATGTTCGTTCTGAAATTTATAGTGTAAGTTATATTTGGAAAAGAGGGAAAAAAATCTAGTACAATAATCAAAGTTTTTAATATCTCTAGGTACTGCGAAGACACAGATTTATATATATTAGAAAAGAAGAAAAGATCAATCGACTTCATTAACGAAACCTTAAAGGAAACACTGTAAATAACTCTTTTCTTTTGTGTTGTTGTCATTTAACTTGGGATTGTAAATATTTTATTTATTTTCAGGGAATTTGCGAATACCAAATTGCCGTGAACACCATAGAGATTCAAAAGCAGCATATTTACCAAAAAATGCAAACAATTGCTGTTGTTTATTGAAAATAGTTAATTTGAGATCACGAAAACAAACATTTACATTTATTTTGATGTGATTCTCAACTGTCTTGCTAATTTGGTTTAAGTTTTCTAGTGTTACGATCTCTCTCCAGCAGTTAACAGTTTTAGTGATCATATAATAGTTTTGAGATATTTGTTTGGGATGTGTTACCTTACGGAATTTCTGTCCCCTTTGCCAATAATATAATATAGGAAATATGTGAATAAAAATCGTTTGTTCTTACGAGTTTCACTTTCATTGAATTGGTTTCGCTGGCTATGATGAAATAATCGAATACTTTCGATCAAAGGTACATAGATATTTGCCTCTTTTCCTGATAAATCACAATACGGCTGTCATCTTATTAAATGCAAAGAAATACCTCAACATGATGGCAGAGAAATTTGAATGCAGAACATTTCAGTGAAGAGTGAAATAATAACTGAAGACCATTTGCATTTTTTTTGTTCAGTCATTTATTTATGACAAATATAATAAGAGTTTATTCAGTTTGAACTGATAATCTGTAGACATGAATCATGTCACATGATTTATTTTAAATAAACAAACGATATATATACGCATAAATTAGATTATTTTGGTTATTCTCAAGTCTATTTGCATTCGAAAAAATCAATTGCTGTGATTTTTATCGAAAAATTGTGAATCAATTTTTGGTGCGTCAGACTTTTGAATGAATCACATAAAATAGATTTAAATGTCTGCATTATGGAATTGTTGAAGTGATCGTGAATGTTTCATTGGTTGTCCAGATGTGGCTGTTAATACTTCTTTGATGAATGTGTCTGAGCTATGAATTGTTGTACCACCCAATATGCATTTATATCCCGATAGATTCATGGCATGAACAGCCAACGCCTCTTCATAAGTGGCACCTCCAACAATGAAAACAATCACCTGTTGCGGTGGTCTTCTGAACGAAAGTTCCGATCCAATACAGGGATACATTGGATCAAGTGGTCGACCCTTGAAAACGTCTTCCAAAATCTCTTTTAATAAACAGGAATGTTGAGTATACACATTTTCAACTCCTTTCAGTCCCTGTTCAAATAATATTGATAACATTCGTATGAAAAAATTGATATGTTTTTCGTTTTAGTTTTACCTTAATTAAACTCCTTGTTAGTTTGACGGCATCCATGATTTTAACATTGTTAAAAAGATCACCATGCCTTGCATGTTGGCCAGCATACTCAAGCATTCGTGGTACCACATGAACATCACCGCCTCTCTGTTTTAGCGTATTCAAAAGACCAACTGTGTCACAGTTGGCATGACGTTCATAGCGCAGTGCATACAATAATACCAATCGCAGTGCATTTTTCAACGAAATCCGTTCATCGGCTACCAATTTCTTGACCCGTTGCAATTGCGCTGAATGGTCGGCTCTGCATGATATCTCTTGTTCCAATTCAGAAACTTCAAGTAATTGTTGCTTTGCCACTTGATTCGACAGCTCACCAATTACAACGACATGTTTTGTTATTGTTCCCGACATTTTCTACGATGAAAAATCGATAGACTGTTATTTTTCATAAACAAATGTAGCAATCTTTGAAATTACCTTAAACTGTGGATAAGTTTCGACAAAGTGTTTCATGTCAGCAATACTTTCGACTTTCTTTTGACTCTTTGTTTTCACCTGATATTCATCCATCAATGTTTTGATTGTTTGTCCAATCTCACCGAAATTTGAGTAGATATTCTACGTAAAAAATAGATCTGATAAAATTAGAAATTCTTCAATTTGATGTCAAAGAAGAAGACTTACATTTGCAAAAAATTCATCTTGTTCTGTTGACAGTACAACTTCTTTCATATCCTTTGGAGCACCGTCGATGCCAGTCAAATCAACCCGATTATTGTTTATCGTTAGTAATTCATGAACCATCGCCTGATAAGTCCATTGATTCAACAACGGCGTGACCGGATCATCTTTTCGATCCAAAATTAAAAGTAAAGGCGGTGGTGCCCCGCTTTCTTGTGCTCGAAAATCAAATAAAGTATTTTCTTTCAAAATCTTATCGTAGCATTCTTTTGCTAATTGATGGGCTGCTTTACTTCCACCACTGTAACGAATATTTGGCTTTAATTTCAGCGAAAGTAATAATGCCGTTAAACTGTCCATTGACCGATGCAAAGCATCGCGGTCCCAATTTTGACCACGTATACAATTCGATAGATTGAATGAAAATAAATTCGCATTCACTCCCAAGTAGTCAGCATAGACTTCTTTTACTTCACGAACCGATTCACTCTCATCACTTTCGGCCAAAAGTTTTATATCTGCTCGTGGTACAATATTGCTAAAATCTTCGAATGGAAAACATAATTAGTCGTAAGGAAAAAGAGGGTGTTTACAATCAAATGATAAACATACATATGTAATAGGATCCAAATCGTGGGTTTCGCAGCTCATGACACAAAAATGCAATATTGTTTTTTGTGGGACGAATAAAGACCAAACATTTTAAATGTTTCATGCGTTCATTCGATTTGGCTGTGTCGATTCGTTCGAATAAATATACTTCTTTTTGCAGCATATCGGATTGACTGAATGCCATTGATACAATACTTGTCTGTGAAATAGATCGATAGAGAGATACATGGAACAATATGTTTTTTTTAAGAAACTATTCATTATGAGAATAGGGAGCGAATTCTTACCGTATCTTTGTCCATGAGAAGAATTTTCATGCCAGGACCTGACTCACTCGTCATTTTCTCAATATACAGTTTCACAGCTGTGATCACATCCATGGTGTAAATCGTCTTATTCTACACAAATTTTTAATAGTTTCAACGAATTTAACCGGATTATTTAAACCCAAACACGGTCATGTATGAAAAACTACTGTAATATTTAATCGACCAACAATATTTCAAACAAAATTGTGTAAATATAAATTTTGTTTTAGCAAAGTCAATTTTTCAAGCATATCAATGACATCAAAATAAGTTCATTGTATTAGTATATGTATATATTTCGTGTAAATGTCATTTGCGTGAATGTGTGCACGAATGTATGCATACAACGTGATACCTACATGTAAACGCAACACTACCACCTCACAAATACAAGCGTAGCACACAAAAAAAGTGAAAACTCATTTGAAAGAGGCTTCTGTCAAAATAATGAGTTTTTGTACTTGCTAATGATTTGTGTAGTGGACGCTTTAAAGTGTGATTTGTTTTCGAACGAAACAAATCGGCATAATATCGAATAAAACAATACTCAAAATCAATAAAATCAATTTGCAAAAATAGAAACTAATAGAAAAACATAAATATGAATATAACAATTGAACGAAAGAAAACTGATTGCAATGCACTGCCGAAGGGATGGCAACGCGAAGAGGTGCTACGAAAAACTGGACTATCAGCGGGCAAAGTAGATGTTTATTATTACAGGTAATTCAATCGATCCGCAACAAATACGATAATTGTTTTTTTTTTTTTTGTTATCAAAATTCAAACCAATCAAAATTTCATATTGTTTATCATCTCATTGGCGCTCTTATTTGAACATGAACAAAATCAGTTCGAACATATTTATCATAGTTGTGTTTGTAGTAAAGCAAATAAAATCATGTAATAAAATTAATTGTAATGTGAAATACTTTCGTCGCATTTGTCAAAAATTGTTTGGCGTTGTAATTAGCCCAAGTGGTGGTAAAGTTGAAACAAAATCGAAATTAGTGCGTCAATTGGGCGAAACAATTGATCTATCAACGTTTGATTATCAATCGGGTCGTCATCAAATGTTCAATCCAAATTCATCTCCGTCTCCGTCTCCATGTCAACCATCGAGCAGCAGTCAATCGATGGTTAATCCATTTCAACGTCCTTCGATACGTCGCTCGATTCATGAAACACCAATGGGCCCACCTTCGCCTGTCACATCAGGTGCATCAAGGTATTCACTCGCATTAAGAAAAGTATCGGGTAGTATCAACTCTGTGGACTCGAGACGTAATGTGCAACCAAAATTTTTAATATTTTGGCGAACATTTTTTTATACTATATATATATTTATCTGATCAAATGTCTTCATTTTTCACTCCAAATTGCGATTCCTCAATTTACCTTTCATTTCGAATGAATTGGACCGAGAAACTTTTATGAATTCAAAACAAAATTTTAATATAAGCAATCATGCTATTTAGACCTCTTTGGACACAAAAACAAATTTTTCGTTGATAAATCGCAATTCTAAATAAATTTCTCCTCTCCTTATTTCAATTTCAAACACTTGCATTTTCAATAGTTTTTATTTCTCCCATTGTTTTGCCAACTCAACATGCTTATCACACCTTTATTTCTTGCTTTTTCACATATTTTCATATCATCACTTCATCTGTCATGTAGTATTTTTTTTCGGGTCAAACAAAACAAATTTTCTGATGAATAATTTGTGTGTTTTTTTTTTCTTTATGATCTATCTTTTGTTTTTGGTGTAGTCGTGGTATTAGAACGGATGTTTCACTGGTTCCACCAATTAGACAAACAGCGTCCATATTTAAGCAACCGGTAACAGTTCATCGAAACCACGATTCAAAGGTGAAAAACGATTTAAAACATGGTACATCACAAGAAAAGCCGAAACAACTATTCTGGGAAAAGCGTTTAGAGGTTAGTCAGTTGACAGTTAATTTATGATGACATAAAAAACTATTCACATATTAATGAATTGTTGTTTGTTCTTAAATACAGGGTTTACATGCTTGCGATATGGATGGCAATGAATTTGGACCAATTGAACTGCCGCGCGGCTTGAAGCCGGTTGGACCAAATGTAAACAATGGCACACTGCTACAGTCGGTCACAACGGCATTACATTTAAATACCACATTAGCAATAACAGGTCAAACAGCACCAAAACCAGCACTCACATCCAATGCAGGCGTATATTTGAATCCAGAACAACCTCTCATGCACGCCGTTACTATTACCGAAGATGACATTCGACGGCAAGAGGATCGCGTGACAAACGCTCGCAAAAAGCTACAAGACGCATTAAAGTGCTAAAATCTTTCTTTCATTCTTGATTATTATTATTTCTCTTTTTTTGTTTTAAATCCGTCAATTCATATAAACATTAAGATTCACATTAGATCACAGCGTCAAATATTTGTTTTTCGTTTAGTACACGTGTATATTTTTTTACATCAGTTATGAAATTTATTTTTTCTCGGACATTTGTTTGGCAGTGCAAAATCAGAAATCAACATCAAAACTAAGTGTAAACGCTACAAACTAGACTTTTATAAAAGAATTTTACAAAGATTTATTTCTAAATTCTTCTTTTTTAATGATCGATTGTGAAAAACGTATTTAATTTTCATAATCATCTATGGCTACCTTTTCAGACACTACATATATAAGATCAGTAAATTCGGTTAAGAATAAATCGTAAATAATTTTATTGGATTTAAATTCCAAGAAAAAATCGTAAAAAATGGCGTTTTATTTACCACTTTTTTTTAATTTCTAACCAAGTTACAAACGTCCGTGCTTGCAACCATACTCTTAGCAAACATAGATGGCAAAATCAAAAGTAATCAGAGTAAAATATTATTTTTAAAAATAGTAAAATTAACCATACATTCTTATGATCGATGGATACCAACATTGTCATTCTTTTTAGTCATACTTTTCAGCAGGACAATTTTGAATTTTTGAAAAAAAAAAAAATTCGCACGAGGGGGGGCGTAAAATATGTACAACAAATTTACCGACACACTACGCGATAATAAAATACATACGACGCGAGTAATAAAACTAACACAGTGCGGCCCATCGATGCGGGTATCCGCTTACACCGCAACATATAAACAGCTCGATAAAAGCATTAAGCTTAGCCCGTATTGCTTATAATCTTACGTATATATACTTATATTTTACTTGTATGATGTCACTCTTCGTCAGACTTCATCGGCGAACAGATATTTATAAGACCGGCGTCTAACAAATCTTATAACGAATTAATTTCACCATAAAACGTAATTCTTTGTATTTGTTTGAAAGCGGATTTTTTGCAAATTATTATATTCTGAATTGACTAATGACTATTTCTGAAAAACGATAGATGGTATTTTTTGTGTCGCGTCTTTTAGTGTATTGTGACGCAACGAATTGATATACCATTGACCGGTATAATTCAAAAATTAAGTGAATTTGAGGAGTGAATTATTTTAGTGATTCTGTGTCACACAGGCTATGTGTTGATATAATTTGTTCCAAAATTGAAGTGAAATCTCAACATCTACATTATTTGAATTATTTCATTGGTTCTGAACTAAATTTGAGGTATATTTGTATTTGACTCCCATTATAAAATGTAAGAATATGAGTTGGTGAATTTCAAAAACAATTTCCAGACACATTTACACTTTCTTATTTTAAATACAACGTAAATGTTCAGTTTAGTTTAAAACAAATCGTTTTTGATGCAAACAAAATCCCATAAACAATTCGATTTTATGTCAACTGGTATGAATTTTCTGAGAAACGTTGCATAAATATAATTTTAATTCTTCAGCACACAGTCTGCTTTGAAATTAATATAAAAAAATGGTTGAATTAATGTAGACAGACCACCGGATTATCTTGGATAACTTGCATTTGATCTTTTTTTTTCTATAAAAAAATGGATTGATAAAAAACAAATTCGCTATCCGAAACATACATATATTGTCCCTCACATATTCTATACACTGATATGGAGTGCCAAAGCGACATATATGTTGCATATTTAAAAATAAACATATAATATAGTATTATATACAATGGCAGTGACATACGAACAATTGAAATGTATTTTATGAAGTAAATACCATTTAAGAGAGAACGTATATGAAGAACATGCATGTTGCCAGTTTGTCGTTTTGTTTAAAAATATTTTAAGTTTGAAATTGGGAATGAGTTTATCGCTGTTTCCGTTTCTCTTTCTTTTCGTTTGCTAGCTCTCAAAAGTGTTATTAACGAAAAAAGTATATTATACAGTAATCGATGCATGCATAATTTTTCTTTCGTCTTTTATGATATTTTTATTTTAATTCTTAGAAATTGATGCTAGCACTCGAGCTTCTCGAACTATAGCAATATAGTGCCCTGTTAACTTTCCAAGAAACACTTATACGTTCGATTTGTTGCATTAGTTGATTTGATTATACACGGACTGTTTATGTTATGACTAATAAAAGACTACACTCCGTCCCGAGCACATTTTTAAACAAATAATAACGACCTTTCATTTCATATTTTGGCTCCGAATGAAAGAAGTTATCGTAAAAACACTTAAAATGGATTGAAAGTTTATACAATGGAAATTGTTGTTTCGCTTCAAACTGCTAACATAAATGTGATTTTAAAATTGTGGTGTTTTCGTCACGTTTTATGATCAGTATTAATTGCTCGGGTTAGCATTTCAACTGATTTATTTTTTAACAGTAAAACAATAAATAAAATGACTTACTTTCAGTCAATAGATTAAGCCTACAGTGCCATATCTGTCGCTATATAAAATCTCTTTCGCTATGTGTTGTGCACAAATAGTGATTACGTTATGGGCTGCTATATTTGTAGGCTCAGTCTATTCACAGTTTATTTTTCAAAGAATTTTAAAATATTGGATTGTTTACAATATTGATTAAGAATACCAACAAAAAAAAAATGTGTCTTTTTAAACAGAATAAATCACGAAAAATGGACAACGATGTAGACATGGAAATGAACAACGTACGAGATGAAGATGTTCTGTTGGACCATATTATTCTGCCGCGCGTTTTGCCACAAACAAAACCACGGTATTTGTATGATACGGAAATTGACTTGATGAAGAAAATGGTTAAAAACGTGGAAAAAATGTCGGAATTTATCCCGAGAAAGACTGTGGAAATGTTTCAACGCTTACAAAGGGTGCACATGATGCTCACAAAAGAAAACATTTCAAAAGAGATCAATGAGTTGTGCCCTGGCGATACATTTGCAATGTTCGTGCGTTTTCAACATACAGGCTTTATGATTCATGTACCATCGACTGAAGCTATCAATAACGTGCAAAATGTGATTGTGTCTACAATTCCAAATTTGCATCCAGATCAAGTTTACAAGCATGACACCGATTTCGAGGTAATTTTTAATATTTTTTGTGTTTTTTTTTAATAGAAGATCCAGTCAAACTCAATTTTATTCGACTATTCCAGTTCAATTATCCAGAACAAGCTATCAAAATGCACTTCTCGAAAATATTAAGATCCGAAGAGTTTGCTAATCAATTGTGTGTTCTGTTCGAAGGATTGCCAGTTGAAGGAAAGAATCGCGATTGTGTATGTAAGTGGCTGGTTACATTGCTTGATGATGGCAATAGCACATCCGCCACCAAATATCCATTCATTACGAAAAAGATTCGAGACGAAATATTGGGCGAAAGCAAAACAAACTACTTTCGTCGATCCAGCTTTTATATAAGCGTCAAGGTTATGCTTCAGCACAACCTCACACTTCAGTTGGGCTCTGAGAACGGAAAATTGTTATACAAAATTGTTATGTTAAATTTCTTGACTAGCATTTGTGGTCTGTATAAGGAATATGACACATTTAACATTGATTTGCTGTCACAATTGATTGCTAAATTGGCACGACGCATTGAGAAGCTGTTGCACATGGTGTCGGACGAAACACCCAAAGATGTCATCAATTTATTAAAATCTGTTGTTAAAGAGGCAAAAGAAAACATCGAACTAATACGCCAGAAAATTGACAGCCAAATAAAAAATTTGCAGAATAAAATCGAAAATGAAGCAAAATCACCATCAGTGGCTGATCTTAACTTTGAAGCAGATATTATATACAAAATTCCAAAACTGACAGAATACTTAACGAAACGAATGAAAAAAGAAAAACTATCTGACAACAAAACCGAGTATACACCAAAAACATACGAACGATATTTCACAAAAGATCTTTCAAACATTGAAAGCATAAATACTACGAAGCACGGCATGGCCGAACGTATATTTTGGTCGGAATTTGAGCAAGTGGTTTTATACGAAATGAAAATGGATGACGACCGATGGAGTGATTATGAGTTACGCACATGGTCATTTGCATATGCGAAATATGCTAAAAAGAATTTCAAAGGGAATCCATTGTTTATGAGCCAAATGTTGTTGGTTCGCTTAAAATTGATTGCTGTGATGGATAAACTTGCTACAAAAAAACATCCATTATTGCTACAACATCACAGTGGAATCAATCAAAACATAATTAATGAATTATTGATACCGCAACATATAAATATGTGCATTGCCCATGAAATAGAGAAGTATTTTCAAAAACGTAACTCTCAATCTAACGGTCCAAGTTTGATTGGCGAAAAAAATATCAGCGATAAATCATTTTCTGTGAAATATGCTAAAGAGCATTCTGACATGCTGGAAATTCAGACTAAAATATTGAAACAGGACGAAAAAAATGTGGATGAAAAGAAAAAAGAATTGCAACGGCGTCGTGATGAAAAGGAAAGTTACAAAAGTAAAGCCAATCGTCGAAACTGTGAATGTTATATAGAGTATGGCTATAAGCAGCATTTTCGTGACTGTACAAAATGCGCATATAACAAAATGGCAGACCAACTGCGGGTTAAACAATATGAACATCTTTTACCCACAGAAGAAATTCAAAGATTAGCTGTTGTTTTTGAACTTCAGATACCCAGTGAAATCGCTCATTTGCGTGATGTTTTAAATAAATTTGCTAAATTTTGTCTTGGAGATTCCAAATTTGAATCGGAAAATTCACAGAAAATCAAAGGAAAGTGGACCGACCGTCTTTCGGAATTTAGTAACAAAAGCAATCACATTGTTACACTAGGAAGTACACAATCTGAAAAATTGGAAGAGTTTCGTGTAAGCAGCAATTCTGACTGGTTTTTCATTAAAAGCACATTCAATTGCGTGTTTCATGCGAAAAAAGAGCAAATCATAAATTCAATTCCAGACGATGCCATAAAAAGTGTATGCATATTTAAAGCTCAAAATGAATATGATTGCTTACAATGGACATTGGTGAGCACCAATCATACGCAAAACCAAGTATTATCGGAACAATCGCACTGTCGTCAAGAGCTCACCCTATCCGAATACAAGAATTTCGGTTCACTACGTGCTGATGGCCATCGTTTACAACTACGAAAATTGTATGCAATGATTGAAACAGAGTCCCTGTCATTTGAAAATGAGTCAGTTTTGGCATTGATTATGCAAACATTATGGGAGTGCGGTGTAAGCGGTAACGATGGATCAACACGAGAATCTCACATCGACTTTCGTGATCCAAAATTTTGTTCAGCAATGATTGAACTGCTATTGAAATTCGTTAGCCAACAAAGAAACAACTGGAGGCACCCATTCAAACTCCTCATCGTAACATTGATTGCAGTTCGAGCATATGAAATTAACTGTCATGATGAGATGGTAATCGAAATTATTTCACTTTTACGTCAAATTCGTGTCATTGCTTTGGATTGGATTCGTCAAATTGAAGATTCAATTCGAAGTATGGCTAATCCAAATGAGAAAACCGAACAAGAGTTACGCATGAAATTGATTCACGTTGCAATTTCTGGAGGTCTAACGTTCTTCATTAATCCAAAGCACAAAAATTACGAGAAGATTTTTGAAGCAGATACCGAAAATGATTTAACTGCTATACGAGCATGGTTTCAATTTAATATAACCCTAAAGAATGGCGTACGGATGTATACAACGGATGAGTCAAAATTGCCACCAAATGTGTGCATGTTTCTTCGATTGATGGAATGCGTTGGTCTCTGTCTAGAGCCAAAAATAACTGAACTCATCACACAAAATCCAAACGAAGTGTATAAGTTAATTAAAATGCTATGGTCTCGTGCTGATTCAGACAATACAACATTTCAACCCATTAATTTTTATAAAAAATATCCACATCTATTGGTCATCGAAGTCATCATTCAATCAAGGAGACAATTTGTAACAATTGACATAATCACCGGTTCATTTTCAGTCGATGGTTTTCCATTGTCACGTTTACCCGAACACATTTTAAATAGTGGCATTTACCAGTGGTTCTTTGGGCAAGTCGTATTCGAGGTGATTCCTGATGGTGATAACTTTTCTACGGTTCATAAATTTAACAATTGTATTTATGAATTTAAATTAATCGACAATAAGGTCATTATTACCGAACGAAACAAAGTAAATGATTTTGAAAAGGAGCTAATCGATCAATCGATTTTGAATGGTGAATTTCCACCACATCTCGTCGAAAATTACAGCCATTGGTGGAATAAGAAAGAAAATTGCATCGAATTTCGGCGTAAAGCGATGGATAAGACACACTTTTCAAAAGTTACCGATGTTGACTATCGATTTGATTACACCACCTCCTATCTATGTCATGTACAAACACAACGTATAATGCTTGACATCAAAAGTGATAGTTTTCAAAAAATTATCGACCGATTGTCACGCTTAGAACATCATAAATATATTCTCATTTTGCAAGAAAGTGCTCACGCAGCCACCGTCGAATTATTACGCATGAATTTGAAATTCAACATCGATTTAAAAACATATGATTTGATTTCAAATGAAATTAGCGGAATGCGCATCAGTCTATCACAAAATGTTGGCACTTTGTACGGTTTACATCATGGTTTGATATTGGAAAGTATTTCCAACGCAAAAACGAAAACCATACTCATACCGAATGGAGAAATTGGAAGTGTATGCACAGATTTACATATTTCTGTGCACGTTAAGACCGAACAAAATCTGAATAGTCCACCATTTTATCAATATCAAGTTGATGAATTTTGTTGTCAATTAAAAGCGAGCAACGGTAGCTATGCATCATGGTTTTATTTGGCATATTTGCATGCGATCACATCACATGGCGAAATCGAACCATTTACTGAAATGTCGGGTACAGAACGTGCTCTACAAATTCTACAATCAGCATATGCATGGTCATCCGAACCATATGAACCAGAAGCTCGAAAAATGTTGAAAAAGATTGCCAATTTAACGCCACTACGAAATTTACGAAAAGGAAAGCAATTAGTTAATTGGCCAGAGAATATACCGCCACGATCAGCGCAAGATTGTTTTTTCTTTATTGTGCAAAAATTACTCAGCAATAGTCAGCGATTGTACAGCTTGTATTCGAAAGATCCACCAAAGCCACTGAAACTTGAAACTCTGATAAAACTTAATGTGCGTGATCATTGGCGTTGTCATCCATTGAATCCAAATCTACGAGTACATGAAACATTTATTCCACAAATAGTGTTGAAGACAGTATTGCCAAATACACCGCCGATATCGTTTTGCAAAGACACACGGCACATATGCCTTTTATACCACAAAAATCGATATTATGTGCCAGGCAGTTTAAATTTAACACATTTTTTGACCGTAAAACGTGAAACATTGGTCGGACTCACCAATTCAGAACGGTTGAAAGATTTGTTATATCACAGTGTTCACGATAAATTTGCTGATTTATGGATTTCTCTGTATGAAGCAGCTCGAAAGCAAGAGCTAAATCGCGAAGAATTTGCAATTATTTTCAGTTTTTTCGCTCATCATGGTGAAGAAATCAATCCGATTTTCGTATTACAGGCAATTGCCGCAAATCCAAAAGAATTTGAACACATCCATCCACCGAAAATTGAATCATTCCCAATATCAGCTGGGACGTTTAAAGTTGAAACAATATCGAATATTTTGAAAGATAACCATAAACAACCGGATGAATATTATAGCAAGGACTGGGAGGAATCTGGCAAACGGCAAAAATACGACGATGATCTCAAAAATGTTATCAAGGACATAGAGAAAATAGCAAAAGATAATTGGCCATGTGCATCGTTCGTTTTGGGCAACACATTTTTAAATCGATTTGAATATATTGACTATGCAACTGCCAATGATAAAATCAATAAAAAATTACGTGTATGGTATAAAAATTATCAACTCGATGTTTTCATCCAAACCGTTGAAATGAATCTAAAATCTTTGCCTGAATGTGGTCTTGGATCTTGCGCCTCGAGCATAAACCGAAATCGTCCATCAATCGAAAATAATTTCGTTAAATTTCAAATTGACTACGAAGCGAAGATACGTGATTGCTTTAATGCATTAAGCCGAGAAAAGATTAATGAAGCACACGATACATGGCAAATGAAAGCAAAAAAATCCATTTATTCAGCGCACGATTGGTGGACATTAATTTGTAACAAAATTTCACAATCGAATGAAACACATCATTTGATTAAAGCAGGAATATTTCCAAGAATGGTGCCAAGTATGTATTTGCCAAAAATAATTGACACCACCACAGATGAACGCTTAAAATGCTTGATCGGTGCATGGGCCATGGAAATTGCACGAGAGCAACGTCAAAAACGTATTGAAATTTTCAAACAGCGTCCAGAACTTCAGGCCATTTTAAGCAGAGAGTTAAAAGACGAACCGCATTCAAATTGGCAACCATCCGAATACCCAGAATGGTTATTATTCGAAATTGAACAGAATCTTATGATCCGACGGATTCAAATTGAAATTGCACGGCGGATGATTACACCGCCGGAAAGTAATACAAAACATTCGGTCATGCAATTGAACATGGGTGAGATATCCTTTTCATTATGTTCCATGATATGTTGATTAATTTCCATTTTTCTTTTCTGATTCACCACTCCAAAACAGGCGAAGGTAAAACAGCAGTTATTGTCCCAATTGTGGCTGCAAGATTGGCAAATGGGCAACAAGCTTGCCAAATAACTGTGCTCAAATCACTGTTTGCAACAAATTTAAAATCATTACGACAATATTTGGGTGGATTCTTAAATCAAAAAATCTACATATTTCCGTGTCGCCGTAACATGCCAATTCACACGCACATTGACTCGATTTTAAGTATTTATGAAGAATGCTTAAAAAATAAAGGTAAATTTGAGAGATATAGATAAGCATTGTAAAAAGAAAAAAAGACAAAGAAATTTAATACCAAAATTGATTTATTTACAGGTGTTATTCTCACACTGCCTGAATATCGTTTATCATTTCAACTAAAAATTTACGAAATGATTCAAAATGAGGAAATGCGCGCAGCCAAAAGTTTGTTACAAGTCCATAAGTGGATGAATGCAAACATACGCAATGTATTAGATGAATCAGATGCAATACTTCAAGCAAAATATCAACTCATTTATACGGTTGGCGCTCCAAGAGAATCAGATGGTGGCTCATTGCGATGGTTGGTCACGCAAGCGGTTTTAAAACGTGTTCCAGATCACATGCACAGACTTTACGGTGAATATGGAAATAAGAAAATCGAATTTGATGAAAACTACGTAAAAAGTGGAAACGTTGTTGGTTGGCCTAACGTCGACTATAGATCGGATGTGTTCACACCATGCCGTATTCTCGATGATATTGTTTTCGATGCACTAAAAATGGCCATCATCGATGATTTTCTTAAAGGTGAACTTGATATTGACTTTAATGAAATCTCGACATCAAAAAAAGAAAAACTCCGGCATCTTCTAACAGAAAAAGCGATTGAAAAACTAACATTTTACGATATAATGCGTAAATTTTCCGAAATTGAACTTAATACCATTTTAATATTGAGTGGACTGTTGCGATTTGAAGTCCTGAAATTGACACTGACTAAACGATGGCGCGTTCATTATGGTGTTAACGTTAAGAGCAATCGTAAAATGGCTATTCCATTTAAAGCAAAAGATGTGGCCGCTGAAATGACCGAATTCGGACATCCCGATGTTGCTGTTTGTTTTACACAAATGAGTTACTATTATTCTGGTGAGTTTTATAGATTTTTTTTTTCAAACATATTGCAAGAATGAATATTTTTTTCTCGTTTTCCCGCAAGGTTTAACCGACGACCAGCTCCGCTGTGTATTTTCGCATTTAGAAAATGCACCAGATGCGGCGGCTACCTATGAGAAATGGATTCGTAGCATTGATGGAAAATTGATTGAGCCATCGATTCGCACTTACAGCGGTGTCAATTTGGATAATCCTCATCAACGTGATGAGTATCTGTTTCCATTGCTTCGTTACAATATGTATGTGATTGATTTTTGGCTATCGAATCTTGTTTTTTCACAAGAACTAAAAATGTTCGATAAGAAGCTGATGTGTACGTCATGGGAATTGACGAGTGATCATTATGCGCATCGTGTTACTGGATTTAGTGGAACGAATGATACCAAAAATATTCTTCCAATAATGATTGGACAAAATGATCTCAAAGAGCTTGAGGGTACGAATGAGAAAATGCGAAATATCCTAAAGGATGCAAGAAATGGTCCATATCAAAACTTGCCAGCCAATGTGAGCGGCAAACAAATATTGGATGCATTGGTAGAACATGATATTCCGGTACTTTTGGATTCAGGTACTTATAAATTTATTCAATTTATGTTTTATTTTTTAAGTTTAACATAATCAATGTCTGTTATTTAAGGTGCTTTGATGCTTGAACTTAATAACAAAGAAGTCGCAAGCGAGTGGCTAAAACGAGCATCCAAAGAAAAATACGATGCAGCAGTTTATTTTGATGGAAAAGATACATTGCAAACGATCGAACGTAGTGGAATGGTTACTGAATTCGATTATTCGGTTTACAAAGAAAATTTGGCAAAATGTCTCGTGTATTTAGATGATGAGCATACACGTGGCACCGATCTTCGTTTTCCGGTGAATTGGAAAGCATGTGTTACACTTTCAGGTGACATAACTCGTGATAAATCCGTGCAATCTTGCATGAGAATGCGTCAGTTAGAAACCAGTCAATCGATTCGATTTTGGGCATCATACGAAGCTGATATTCGCATACGAAAAGTATGCGAACTATCGGAACGGGATACAGTTGAAAATGTACATGTCATCAAATTTATTGAGCACAATAGCCGTCAATTTGAAAAGGCAAATATGATGCATTGGACAACAGGCGCGTTGAATTATACAAAGAAATTGGTCGGACACAAACAATATGAAAATGCTGAAGATGATGATTCCATGAAGAAACTCTATGAAAAATGTGTTGATGATGATTTTGCAAAATTGGTTGAAATGTACGGCGAAAAAGAAGAAGCAAAAATAATCGATATTGCATGGAAAAAATTCGATAAAATTGATGGTCGTCATGTTGATAGACAATTTCGATCATTTATCCGTGAAATGAAGGATAATGTCGTGGACAAACTGAATGAATTAGCAACAGATGTTAAACGATTTACACACGCTCTCGATGAGGAACAAGAAAAGGAGTTGGAACAAGAAGTTGAGGAGCAAACTCAAATAGAACGTCCACCGGGAGCAAAACCGGCCACACCAAAGTTCAATGAGCAATTGAAACAATTGGTTATTAACGGTGCCACTGATGGTCTGGTTAACAAAATGAAGATTGAAAATTCATTACTTTCAATTGTCAACAGCTTGGCCAACACACAATTATCCGAATTTTGCGAAAAAAATGCAGACGCCTGGTCCAAATATATATTTGTTACCAACGATTTTTGCACAGTTCTTCAGGGTTCATCGCAATTGTGTGATGCATTTTTACGGCCAACATGGTGGCTTGCACAAATTAAGGGTGAAACAAAGAATATTATAATTCTTTTAAGTTCATTTGAATGCAATCATCTTTTGCCAGCTTTTCGACATACTACGAATGCAACACTTTTTATGTACCGTCCACGTTTGAGCAAACTTCACAGTAATTTAATTCACGAGGAAAAACTTCAAATCACTGGCAATTTAACAGCAAATACCATTGATATTGAAGATGAAGTTCAAATTGGAGTTTTTTCGGGGATGATGTACTTTAAAAATGAAATGGAACAAAATGCATATTGTTCATTTTTGGGTTTGATTCCAAGACCACGTACAGCCGAACAGGAAAAAGCATTCGAAGACAAAATCATCAAAGAAAATGGGTATGTGCCACCAAAAAAGCGCAAAATGGATGAAATTTCAAACTGTGTCGATCGTTGCCGTTTTGAACATAATCCGAGAGATTTTGTTATCAAATTGATCAACGCCCATCATCAAGGAATGCCCAAAGTTACGCACGTCTCATCGATCTTAGTGCGATGCAAAAAAGTTTTCCCCGATGATAATGCAATGCAAGTAGACTAAGATTAATCAAAACAAAATATAAAGTAAAAAAAAAAACAAAAATTCATTTCGAACGTTTTTTTATTAAATTTTATTTTAAGAGAATTGTACCCCATAAATTCAATAAAGTATCCACAATATTTCTTTATAATGCACTAAACCTATCATTCCGTTTGGCTCAATCGCGAAACCTATAGTGATGTAAGTATCCTTGTTCGAAGTAATTTAGGGAAAAAATTGCCATGTAACCACTACATATCTCATTTCTGCTACGCGGATACTGAAAAAAAAAATCGTTCAAAGAGAGTAGAAATAAAACAATCTCTTGTGTTTTTTTTTAATTTGCAGTAATTTTATTACAATTTTTATATCATAAATTTTATTATCTGTTCATTTTCTTAAACTGATAGTAATTTGTTTTGTCGGTATTCTTTTTGCTGTTTTTGCATGAATGTTATTTTCATTTAAAATGTACGTTTGTTTTCATCGAAATGTTTTGACTTAATACATTCAGCCAACATTGTTCTTGTTTTGCTAATGTGAAACTATAATTTCATAATACTTTTTGAACTTTGCCATCTTTCCCGTTTTCTATTTCTGTCAATCAATTTCATTTTATTTAGTGAGATTTTGAAACAAGTCGTTTGGGCCAGTTTATTATGTAAGTAGTTCTACATAATTTTGTCGTGGTATGTTAAGATTTGAGATTAATATCTTTATACATATATTGTAATTGTTTCATGTTTGCTTCTAAATTTTTTTTTTCAGAAATCTCTCTAGTTATTTTAGTCATATATTTTGCGTTTTTTTTTTTTGCATTAATTCATTGCACATGTTCGAAATCGAAATTAAAGCCAAATAAATGTGTTCTGAAATATATCAAATTTGAATAAGTTTAATTTTTCAAGTTAATCACTCTTTTAAATATCCATACTTTTCACAATATTTCACTTTTGCTTCTATTTGATTTAAGTACCATATAAATGCCGATTTAAACTCATTCTTTTTTATCAATTTCATTGCCAAAACTTGATACTTTAGTTTTGATTCTCAATCGAACCTATTATCGCTTTGTTTAATTTAGCTACAGAAAAAAGGGATTCTTTTAATTTAACAAATGTGCGTTTTTTTCAGAATTTGGATAAATGGATTTCTTTGTGAATTTTCGAAAAAGTGCAATTTTATCATGATTAAATTATAAATGATTTATGCGAATTTCAATGGAAGCAAAATTTGTTAAAATTGTAATTATTTTTGAACCAAAGCAAGCAAAAACTAATTTGAACTAAAAATTGTTTCAACTCAATGCGTACAACCTTTCCCTTAACAAACACCAAATAAATACAGAAATTTACATAAAAAATTGAAATACATTTTGTTCACAAAATAAAATGCAAAATGTTAAATCATCAATTTGCAATTAAATCTAAAATTTAAACAAACAAACAAAAAAAATGGTCTGGAGGGATATAATTGACACATAAACATGTTGACCAATGATTCAGAATCTAAATAAACAGCACAATTTATCTAAAAAAAAAAATATACTCAATTTATATAATTTGTTTGTTGTTGCTCATCCTTAAACGGGCTTTTTGTCATTTTGCCTATGCTTTTCAAATCGAAAATAATATAATTATATGTGCGCCAATATAAATAGAGCCAGATCATTTTCTATAACTGACAAGCGTTACATTCTTTCGTCTTCCATTTTCCCTACTCTCCTTTTCACTTTTAAATTTTAATCTGAATGCATTTCATTTTCTTTGCATTGCTGTGTGTGGTTTTTCATGTAAAAAACTATTGTGTCAATATACAAAATATGATATATATTATTGAATTAAATTATTTTGAATGACACACATCAGAGAAAACAAATATAACACCTAAAAATTATACAATTTCTTTGTTAAATTACATTTTGCTGTTTGTCCCGTTTGTTTTTTCATTTGTTTCGTCGGATGCATTAAAGTTGCATGCAAAATTAAAACGGCAAAAATAACCCATTGACGTTTCGACGGAAAATCATAATAAAAGCATTTCTGATGCGTTTATTCTCTTTTATTTTTGATTTTTTTCTTCTCCTTCTTCTTTGTTTCATTTCACAATTGTTTGTATTCACTTGCTATCACTTTCGTGTGTGATTTCTATGCCATCGACATTACCAACGAATTAAATAGTTTGCATTGAAGTTTTAGTGTTTGTGTGTGTGTATGTTTTCAATTTAAAATAAAATCTAAAATATTTTAATATGAAATATTATTCAGTTGATGCCATTTTGTTCTTTTCTATCCGTGCGTTCAAAATTTTCGATTAATATTTTACGAATAAAATTAAAATAAATTAATGTGTTGTATATAAGTAGTTTTTGAGTTGGTAGTATCCACAATTTTTTTTTGCTTCTCTTTCGTCTAGTCGATAGATGTGTGTGTGTGTTTTTTTCATTTGCATTTCCATTGGAATGCAAACAGAACAGAAATATTTAGAATGCTCTGACCAAATGCACGAATATTTTTCGCATTCAATTGAAACGCAAATTCTATTCCAAAGCTGAAAGTTAAAATGATTTGGTCATAGTTTCTGTTTTCGAGTTATATTATGCAGTGTATATATTGCGTGTCTACAGAATAGCATATGATTGTTGTTTTTGTTTTTTTAATTCCGTGTTTTTCTTCTGAAATATTGATAATACTTATACGCATAGAGTTCATTGTTTGTTTGTTTTTTTTTTCATTTAATCGATACTCAATCATTTCCACTTGGCAAACATGAAATATGTGTTGCATTCGATTCGTCTCACGTAGTTATATTTTTTAAATGTAATAATTTTGATTTCAGTTCATGAAATGTTGGTCTTCGCAATGGATTTAAATCCCATGCTTGTCGCATCATTTCATAGATTTCGGGGGGACATCCTTCGGGCGCTTCCATTTTATAACCAACTTCTACATGTTTAACAACATCGGCTAGAGGCTAATCGAACAAATTTAATAATGTCAAAAAATTTATTTATGAATCATAAAAAAAAAACATTTAAACTTACTATTCTTGGGTATGGGACTCGACCGAACGAATAAATTTCCCATAGTAAAATACCAAAACTCCACATATCTGATTTGTTTGAGAATCGCTGTAAAAGAAAGACGATTTTGAAAAGCTATACTTTTTTCATCGATTATATTTTAAAACTTACGCCTCCTTTCAGTGCTTCTGGTGCTGTCCATTTGATTGGCAATTTACCGACGTCTAAATTATAACACTCCTCTCTGGCTAAACCAAAGTCAGACACTTTGGCTACACAATCTTCGGCAATCAAAACATTCCTCGCCGCTAAATCTCTATGAACAACCTTTTTGCACTCCAAGTACTCCATTCCCGAACAGGTATCACTGCAATAATAAATTGGATTGCATTTGTACACAATTGTGATTATATTTATTGTACCCTCTTTGTACTTACTATGCGAAATTGATTTGATCCTTTTTGGTAATATGTTGACGGCCACGTGATCGCAAATAATCCACAAGAGATCCTTTGCTCATGTATTCGGTGACCAGATAAATATGTTTACTATTGAATACTAAGCCAATGAAACGAACAAGATTTTCATGTTCGAGCGTTGTCATTACAGATGCTTCGGCTAAAAATTTCTGTGCGGCACCATCATCTTTTAACATTTTGACAGCGACTTTTTCGCCACGCAAAATGCCAAGCATTACATCGCCAAATTCACCTTTGCCAATGCTTTCTCTTAATTGTAAATCACTTTCTGGTATGGCCCAGCCTTTGTCCAAAAACTCTTTTGAATTTATGCAAAACTCTTGTTTGCCCTTTTTATGTAAACATTTTACTAATTGCGTGCACAAACCGTCTGCATCCTTCTCATAATGCTGTTTAGCAAAAATAAAAATCAGAATAAATAAAAATTTAATTTTATCGAAATATTTAACAACCGAAAATCACACTCACGTCAACTAATTGGCCCAGATTCTCAAAGTACTCTTCGTCGTCGATGGTCAATTTGTTTTCTAAATATTTAACACGATAGTGTTCAACTTTTCCCTGAAAGCATACGCACAATGTGTAATCGCCCGGGAAATTGGTTGACTCTCTGACTAAAAATAGGCCATCTTCGCGTGGCTGCAACAAGTGTTCGGCCTCGTCCCTTGTAATGCTACCGTGAAACCATCTGAAAAAATGAAATCAACAATAAAATAAATGCTCGGAATTTATCTTAAAGAAATTTGAACATTCGAACGATTGACTTACGGCATTGCGTTTAATTTAACTTCTAATTTACGGTGATGTTGTGCCGATGAAGATATTGTTGGTGACAATGATGATGTGCTATTCCATGTTGTGGTATTAGCATCGAAACCTGAACTAGCAGCATTTGAACCGCTGTGTAATGATGTTGACATTGCTGATGGCACATGAACTGGTGTTGCTTGATGAAGACTAGTGATTGTGGATCCAGTGGTTGTTGATCCGCCGTTTTGATGCATATGTGGAATTTGCTCCGAACTATCTAAGTTCAAGCGAAACGATGATGTGTTGCTTGCTAATTGCGATGTTGTTGTCTGTGATGGATTGTGTACATGCTGTACATTGGTGGCCATTTGATTTGGTGACTTTGGCGAATGGGCATTCGATGCCATTTGTATCGCTGGATCAAGGGCGGTTGTTGACAATGATAAATTTGCTGAGGTAGCCAGACTCAATTGTGGATTACCTAAGGGGAGAATCACAAAAGAAAAGAATTAATTGGAAATAATCGATAAGTAATCGACAGATAATCGAAAAAGAATCAATAACAATTATTAAATAATAGAAAGGTAATTTTTAAGTGAATTGCCCCTAGTACTTACCCAATGCGATGGAAGACGAATGTAATGGATTTACGTTTGTTAACTAGAAATCGCATTTTTTCGAAAGAAAAAAAAATGTTTAAATTGTTTGCTTACAAAAAGAAAATAATCGAAAAGAATAACTCACTGCTGAATGATTATGCTGCGATTGCGAAAGTTGATGATTACTTTGGCTTCCAACATTATTGTTATTATTGTTGTGTACAATAGAACCAGGCTGTGGTGCGGGACGTTTGTGGTGACGCGCTGGTGCAGTTGGTGGCATTTCATGAGCCTGCAAAAACCATGGATCGCCACCAGTGGTCACTGTTGATGGCTGAGAAAAACCACGATGATGACCGACGACTACTGATTGATGCCCTGACGCTTGCAAATTCACAGCGTGACTATTCATTACTTCAAGCGAACCCGTCGAATTTCGTCTTCGAAAGATTTTCCTACGATACTTTCGATAATCGATCGCTTTTGTATGCTTTGCCCCTAATGAATCGGCATCTAAATATCGAATAGGAAAACAATTGAAAATATTTAATTAAAATCAAAATGAAAACAGAATAAAATCATCAAAATGATCATTGATAATGTGGCCGATCAATTCACACGTTGGCAGTTTACACAAAAATAAAATCAATTTTCGCTGAATGGGTAAACTTTATCGTTGATATTCTAACGCTATATCAACAAACATTAATTGCGACGAAGCAAAATTGGATTCGAGTGTGTCATTCAAAAGCAAAAATTAATATGTGCTCATATGTTTAATTAAATGAATTTGCATTTCCTGCAAAAAGTTCAAACGGTTTTATTACAAATCAAATGCATAACGCACGAACAATCGCAAACAGATTATAAATTACAAAACTTGTGTGGAATATAAAATGTGTTATCACTGTTACCACGCATCCGAAGTTAGTTGACGGCTCATTTCGATTATGATGTACATCCTTAATTCTACGTAATGACACAGCACACGAATAGTTCATCAAATATCAACAACGAAATTGAACGATGATATTATAAAATTTGTAATTAATGTCTGAATAAACAGTTAAACTCCAAACTCTTCTTATACATGTAAATTTGCAAATCAACAACAACGGAAAAATTACTATCAAGTATTGCTGTTTATGAAAGCAATTTAAAAACTACTTGCGAAATGACATCTTTCATCGATGTTGGAATTGTAGAAAATGAGTGTTAACTATGTACTATGAAAATGCGAAAAAAAAACCACGACCGAACAAAAAAACAACAGTCGAATATCTAACGGAACCAGATATATTAAACGGCTTCTGATGAATTAGTTATTTATTGCTATTTGTTTCATGAATTATTGAATGCATACGATATGACACACACCATTTAGCGTGTACAATGCACCAACAAAAACTAATGCCAAATTTCATTGCAAAAGTTGAATGAACAACAAACAAACACTATTCAAACATAATCCGTATTTACACACACATGCGCGCATTCTCACTTTGTTTATTGAAAAATCTATTAGAAATCGAAATTGTTGCGGCATTTGCAAAAAAAAAAACCGTAGTTCGGTCGAAAATTTAAAAACAATTTCAATGCAAAAGCACTTTGGGCTAATAAAAGTGGCAATCATGGTGAATATCATTTAATGAACGGATAAAGAGAGATAGAAACACATACACACATTTTTTGAACGCACAAATCGCACAGCAACAACAAAAAAACTGGGTCAAACTTTAGCGAATCAACATTCAAGTGTGGCTCTAATTCGAAACTTGTTTCGTTATTTAAATTCATGTTTGAGTATTAAGACGTGCGTTACGCATGCATACACATGCCGATATGTGCTCGAAAAGACTGTGAACATATATCAACTTTTAATTTAAACCAAAAAAAAAAACATTGGATAAAATGCCAACAATTGAATAAAAAAACACTTGTCGAAAAATAAAATGTGAAACATTTTCACCTACTGTTATTACGTTCTTACACAGGATGTGGCAAATTTCAAAATGATTTGATCCAAACTAAAGTCAATGTTTGAGAAGCGATGCGCGCAAATGCACATTGCGCTGAGAATAAGTTATTGCCAACGACTCACATAGATGGATTGTGTGTCGTTTGGCCATAGAAAGAGTCAGTGTCTATTGTGTGTACTAACCGATGGGCGACGTTGGTGATGATAGTCTTCGTACAATATTTTCTTTGCATTCAATTAGATAGTTTTTGAATGTATTGCGTCGTCGAACGCCCGATACGTTGTTTACAATAATACCACTTTTTTTGCTTGTGCAACCATCCCATTGACGTGCATCCAATTTGATCGATGTGGTGCATTGGCCATTTTTATCGATTCGAATAACTTTGTGAATGGATTTATTCACCGCAACCGATGACGGTGAAAGACTACTGATTACGATTTTATTGCTGTTTGCTGTCGACGATGAAAACAACGATGTTGTCGTTGTCTTTTTTATACGTGACAATGTCTTTACCAAATGCGGTGATATAAGCGGTGGCTGTGACCTGTCTATGGGCAAATTCGGAAGCGATTGTGGAGCAACGTCGTCAACTGATATGCTATGCTTTGTAATTTCATCAGACCCAATTCTATAATGGTTACTACTATTGGAATTGTGACTATGACCATTGCTTAGACGACCATTTGTGCCATTGATTACATTCATCGATGAATCGGTCACTATTTGATTGTTATTGTTGTCGTCGTCGTCGTTGTCGTCGTTCGTTGTCGTCTGAATATGATTCGATGTGGAGTTTGTTTGAATGAAAACGCCATCGCATGTTATTTTTATCGTCGTTACCATATTGCATATACTTTTATAAATTGCATTTGTTTGTCATGTCATTACGCAATTCAATGCTCATCGCGTGTCCAAAATTGAAATGTTAAATTGGATTCTCGTATAGTCCACCTTCCACTTGTTTCTTTTGTTTCTGGTTCGTTGTTTTGTGTTCTATTTCACGTCAATGACGGACTTTCCTGCTTTCTTATCACTTTAATTTTGTACATTCTCACTCATTCGCTTCGTTCTTTGACATTTATTTTGATTCAGTTGCGACAATTAGTCACTTTTGGGATTCGTGTACATATATGTTTACAAAACACACACATACATATTTATATTTTCAGAAACGTTCTCTGTCCATTGCTCATCCAGCGAAACATTCGCATTGAGTCATGCTTACATGCTTTTTTTCACTTTTCTCCTCTAGTTGTATAACTCAAATTATTGTTCTGTTTCTTTTAATGTCAATCCGTATTTTTTTTAAGATATCAAGGCAATGTGGCTACAACTAAATCCACTCCATGGGGACTCAATTGCCAAATGTAAAACATTACGAATTTATTTGTAAATTAGATTTCATCACTCATATCTACTATTGTTGGATCTTATTTTTTTAAATCATTCAGAGTTTAACATTTATTTTAAAATATCCACTGTGGAATTGAACAAAAAAAAACATCACTTTCAAATCGATGTTTTTCTTATCACTCTTTGCGCAAAAGTCTATTTTTAATGCATTTTTCCCTCCTTCGCATGAATAAAACAAAATTAAAATTGAAATGTGTCGAAAGCAACACTAAAATCCTAAAAATATACAAGAAAAATTGATGTTTTTGCCATATTTATGCCAATTTTATTCATATTTCCGGAAGCAAGAGTTGCAATAATCTGTACTTAAAATCTCTCTCATTTGAATCAAGCGAAAAAAAAAACTTATTTATTTTTCCGGTAGATACAAAAACTTGACACTGTAAAACTGAATTTGAAACTAGATACGAACGAAGTCTTATCAATTCGAGAGAACTTTCAAAGTTGCAAATGCCTGTTTGCTTCAACGTTTCCAATGTAAAATGATACTGAACATATTTCACTTCGTATTGATACAACATTTATATTTAGACTTCATTTTTTTGTGTGTGATGAAATCTCAATACCACATCTTTCACTCATACGGAAAGAGATGCCTTGAAATGCTACGAAATATTTGTGTGAGATGGAAAGAGGGGCAAAAACACAAAAAAAATTCTACTTTATTTTCACATCAAACAAAACAATTATATCTCAATATGGTTTTTTTGTCGGTTGCTTCCAATGAAATTGCAATTTGTTGTGTGAGAAGCGAAACAAAAGACCAGAATATTGGTGTTATTGTTTCATATTGAAACACACTTTTGTTTGAACAATTGGCAACAACGTTCAGTCGACAATGATATCACTTATAGCTCACAATTGCCATAAATACTTGTTGCGAGTGGACATCATTTTTTCTCGGAAAGATGCCAGTGAATTGCAAATAGAAAGGCATGCACTAGTATTCAATTACATTTGAAAAATTGCGCGACATAGATTCGCCGGGTGAGGCAAAAAAAGGTGAAAAAATGCTTCTTTAAAAACAGAAACAAAACATAAAACAAATTGTATGTTGTCATGCAAGTGTTTATAAGCCAAAATGTCGCGCCGTAAACAAGAATATGCTGACCGAAAGCACACCTGAAGCAAACAAAGCAAAAACAACAATAATATTGCAACAAAATGTATACGATGCTCGATGTGATTTGCGGTTTCAGAATGAGCAATCGAATAAAATGTAAGATTTCCCGGAGTTATACGCAATTGAATCAGTGCACACGCAACGCCAATTAGACTCAACCGAGTAAATCGTAGAGAGTGCACTTCTTTGAATCATGACAGTATATACACAATTTATGGCGATGAGACAGTTAACCAACGACGTCAACCGCTGCATCTTCAATTCCATAATCTGTTCTCTCTTCCTATTTGTAGCCATCTTTGAACATCTCTCTCTCTCCCTCTCTGTCATCTGTTATCATTATAAATCATTTCCAATAAAAACGTATAAAATCCTTCAATCACAAGATATTTGAAACCATTGTGGGAGATTTAATTTCGAATCTTCACATTTTGTTGTGGAAACCGTCGATTTTGAGCGGCAGCCCGTGATTTATCTAATTAAAAATACACGCCGCGTTGTAAATAAAAAGAAGATTTAAATTTTAAGTGAGTGAAAGCTAGGTTAACACGATTCGTATTGTATTCCGAATCGTTAGTCAATGATAAAACATAAAAAAAGCGCTAAAGACTAGAACGTCGAAAGCGAATTTTGTTTACATTGATATGATGTTACGGTATTTGTTTAGAGCTATCTTTTCCTCTCGGCGCTTTAGTCTAATACAGTATTTAAAAATGAAGGTAAATGAAATGTTGGCTGCACAGGTGATGTGGACGAAAAAAAAAATACAATGAAACTTCGACTTTTTTTGCATTGAGAAATGCCAAAGTGAATAAAGAAAAAAAAATGAATGGCATTATGAATAACAATAATGTAGTATTTGGGTCCATCGAACTAGCAATGATCAGCGTGAAATGAAAACTTCAATACTAATGAAATGACCGCAGCCATGCGAAAGCGTACCGTAAACATTTGTCAATTCGCGAATTGAAAGCGCAACGAAGATGATAAAATCCAAACATAAAACAATCCAAGGAAATTGAAATGACAACGATAAAATACATAGAGAAATGACACCGAGAGAAAAAAAAAGAACAAGGAAAACGGCCTGTTGTTGATGATGGTGAATGAGAATGTGTGCATACAGCTTTGGTAGGTCAATTAGCTCTATCGTTTAACGTTTTCAATTCGATTTGCTTTTGTGCGCAAACGATTTCTACTCATGGACTTCTTTTTGTTTCGCCTCTTTTCATATAATGCATATTTAACATTTCAGCCGCAGTGTCTTTTGTTTTATTTTCCTCTATAGTCTATTCACTTCCATTCAGTGTTTGGATTTTATTTCTGCTCATTTATCGCATGTGTGTGTGTGTGCACGCGCATTTTTTTTTTATTTATTAAATCGGTGTTGTATTCCATTTGGCCTTAACCGATCATAATCTCAATTGAGGATAGAGAGAGAAAAAAAAAGCGCAATCAGCGCACACTCACATGGAGAAACTCACACGCTCTCCCAATCATATTAAATTGAATGTATTATTCGCTATAAATAAATGTTAACGATGAACTATTGTATATAATTGGAACTAAAAGTGTGATCATTGTCGTTTGTTGTTCGTTTAATCTATCTTTCTGTGTATTTTTTGCTTTTATAAGCATTATCTTCTTTTTTATCACAACATGTGGTCTATGTGGTTGGTTCACATAATCAGATGCGTTTTCTCTTTATATTCACTTTAATTTGGGAACACGGCAGAAACTGATTTCAAACGAAACCGCAATTTTCTATTAACACATGCAAAAATGAATGTGTAAGCAAGCCATTTCACAAAAGTCTTTCTCTTTCTCTCTCTCTCTTTCCCTCGTAACAACACTTAAACATCATATCATGGGCACGAATCTTAAATTTAACGTACTTAGTTAGTCGAAACTACATTTATTGGCCATTTTTATAATAATTTATATTTGATGATATGCAAAAGGTGTGTACTTTTTTCAATTGAAACGAGATAATTAGTTGTGCAGGCATTTGATGGGGACGAAAATAATGCCAATTATATGTTCGCTATGACATAAATTGAGAGAAAATCTCTTTTTTTCAGGTAGATAGATAAACATAAAATTGTCGATTATAAAACGAACGAACATAAAAAAGAGAGTTCTTGATGGATCTGGCATATCCACTGCAATAAACTGTTATTCAACCTTTGCACAAACGCATACGTTGCTAGTTGCCCAAAAGATTAAGGCATCATTTTAACGAAGAATCACACAGAGTTGTGTAAAGGTTTGAAGATGTCATCAATTTGACCTCTTGCATGAACATCAATTTTAACTGAACATTTTTCTTTGGATCTTTCACTTTCAATTTTTAACGCTTTTTCATCATTTGAATCGAAATCATTTTAACAATCGGAAATGTTCTGCAATTTTAAATTAAAGCGAAATTTTTGCAAAGCGGCAGCTATTATATTGTTTCTTTATCGAACAACATTCTCAAATTTCAACAACGTTTTTTTTTTCTCTAATCTTTTAAGCCACTGTACACACTTGAAACCGAACTGAAAGTTTTTATTTCAATAAATACAGTAATTTTCTAGTTCACTTCATTTGCGGTGTTTAATTTAAATTTTCTTTTTTTTTATTTCGTATGGAACACACAAAACCAATTTTATTTCTTTCACGGCATGATTTTTTTTTTTCGTAAATTTTCATCTTTATTTCAATCAATCGATTGATATGCAATGAATAACCGGTCGATAGCAAATAAATATCAAGTGAATGGAAATTATGATGAAGTTGTGGCGCGGAAACGTTACACACGATTCGTGATAAAAGTATTTTAGGCTGATGCAAAAAAAAAACCAAATTGAAGAGAAAAATAAACGGGTAGATGGAAAAAAGCAACAAAATAAAAGATCAAAATGTGGTACTGTTCACGTGAAGAGCTCGAGTAATACTACGCTCAATCAAGTATTGAGAAACCTCGCGAAAAAATAGAAACATGAAACACAAAAAAAAACGAAAATAAAAATCGAAACGGTATAGAAGCAGTGGCGGTGTAACATTAGTAGTTGGTATAGCATAAAATTTCTGGGTTGCTGTGTGCAGTAGTTGGGCGATTGAAAGTGATCCAAAGACATGCACACAACACACACTTAATTCGCGCGTGAGCTCTCTGATCATTTTTGCATCGTAAATAAGCAAAAGCAGATTCCGACATCGCTTAAATGCGCGCACCGTTTTTTTTATAAATGTATTTGTGTGCAAAACGTGCGATGAAGTGAATCATGGACTTGATCTCTCAGCATTGGATAGTTAAACGAGAGGTAAACGAGAGTTTAAGCGTGTGTATGGCGTTTGAATGAATAAAAGAGAGTATAGTAAAATACGGGTGAAAAATGGACATACGTGAGTTGAGTTTTGCATGTGGTTTTGAAAGTAAAGATAACATTTATACAGAAGCAAGGTTGGAATGCAGATGTATGCGGCGGATCCTCAAAGGAAGAGAACAAACAAACAAACTAAATTGGCTGATTCAATGGAACGAAACCGTTCAATATGTTGCAAAATATCAAATAAAGTCCATATACCTTTTAACGGAATCCATATGTATGTTTTATTCGCTTTTTACTTTTCCGCACACACCTAGTGTGTAAGGTAAAGTATTGGAATCGGTCGAAAAATTAACACCCTCAAAAAACATGTTTTCTGGGTGTTTTGGGACCCAGGGAACACGAATCTAGCGTTTTTTAGATGTCCGAATGTATGTGCGTGGTACCCTGTACGCTGTACGCTGTACGCTGTACGCTGTACGCTGTACGCTGTACCCTGTACGCAAAAATTTGTTAACACGATAACTTTCAAACCAGAAAAGTAATTCAAAATCTGACTTCACAGAATGATTGGGGGTGCCGAGGAATAGAAACCATTAGATTTTGAGCGACTTTGGTTGATAGAGTAACGTGTCATGTCTGGTGTGATGCCCATGGCCATCCATGGGAAAAATTCAATTTTCCCCCCAAAAGT